GAGGAGACAACCAGGGGCGCCGTAAGGGGGTGAAAAGTTAGGACGATTCTAAGGGCCCGTGACTGACAGGGGCCTCAAACATTTTTAGAACATTAAGAAATTTTTTTTAAGTAATCTTTCATCAATCATCAATAATTAACATTAATATAACGTTAAATTGATAATGTACTAACTAAACTTACGATTCATTTAACTTATTTTCTTCCAAAAGTTAATTATCCAAAGCCTCTGTACTCCTCCCTCTATTTACATTTAATGGCCTGGTCCTGCCTCCAACCGCGGTGCAGCACCGGCACTTTCTAGCAGAGAGTGAGAGCATGTGAGGAGGGATGCTACTTATGTGCATGTCTCAACGACTAACAAAGTCAGGCTTTCAAAAAAGAAAAGAAAGGAGAGAAAGACAAGAGAGAGCGACTAAAGGGCAACAGTATGTCACCCAGTTTTTTCAAAAGAAAAGGTGGGTGTCCATGAGTGGTGGAAATTAGTCTGTTAGCTAAGCGTAGTCCATTGTACATAATAATTTATTAAGCTGACATTAAGTAGGCCTACTGTTAATATCACAGAAACTTCAGAAGTTTTTCATTTCACTGCTCTTTTAGCTGACATTTTATAAATGCAGCTACATTTTTAGCAGCTATTCATACTAAATCAGTTGTCCCTGCCAGGACCAACAGATCCATCTAGCCTCAGCAGCCCTGTCCCCCCATAATGCTGAACCTGAACCAGCTTTTCTCCCAATTGAAGGAGGTGAGCAGCATTGTGTTGAATGACATGCCACTTAACATATCTGAAGGGAGACTGGAATATACATATCAAAACAAAAAGCTAACATCTAATTTCAATTATACATTTCAAACACAGTATTTTTCCACATATTTAAGTTATATTTATTTGGATTTATGCATTCATGTTGAGAATGTTCCATTCAAAAATCTTATTATTAAAAAGGCATTTACACCATAAAAGAGGACTATTGAGATCTATTGTCAGGAATGTTAGTCTTATATCAAATAGTGAATTCTACTGCAGCAGAATGTTGCGCGTCTGCACAGTGTTATATTTTCACAGCTCAGTGTCAGTAAATATTGTGCAGTTAGTATTGGACTACAAGATAGATGCAAGCCTGTACAGGTAGAGTTATTTAAAGCATAAATGAGTCGGTTGGGTTCTGGAGGTGTAGTTACAGCAATTGTGCTTGGTTGGCGTGGCCTGTGCCTGGTGGTGGGGCCCAATGGGGCTTTTCATGGGGCCCAAAATCCCTGGTGGCAGCGCCCCTGGTTCCAGGTTTTAACTAGTTTGGAGTGTAATAATCAACATTCTTCAATAGATAGACTAAACAGCTGAGGACACTGAATCACATTTGTTGTCGCTTATGGCTCGGGGTCATCTACACCCCAAGAAGGATGTGTTCCAGGTGTCCCACAACAATAACTATCTCTGACCGAGAGTTGCCCGGTGGTAAACTGGTAACATCAACAATATGCTAGGGCAGCCCCTCCTTAAGGGAGATAGCGGCTGCCCAAGGTTGGGCATCTGCATCAGAGGGCGAAGCAGGACATGCAAGGCAAATTATTCCCTGACATTAAGGCCTTTTGTTCAACTTGGTGCAGAACATTTAGATAACAAATTATTCACAGGCACACAAGGGCCTCAGAGACCAATCAAAACGTGTTCTTTTATGGCTCCGGACAGTCACTCATGAGTCATCAGGGGGCAGGGCCACACAAACATAGGCTGTATACCAGCCTGGTTAACGTACAACACAATGTAGCTTTACTGGTTCAATCATGTGAGGCTGACATCTATTTGATACTGAAAATCCTTTATGTGTAACAAATATAATCATAAGCATCAAAGGAGTTAACAGATACAATAGACATGACTAGATCTAATTAAAACAATCATATTACAAAAATGCTACAAAACCATGTAACCAATTTTACCACGACTGTCCAATAATAATAATAATAATAATAGCTTGGATTTATATAGCGCCTTTCAAGGGACCCAAGGTCGACCCAAGGTCGAATGTACCTGTATGTTTGTTGTTGTTTTGTTTTCCTAAATCTACAGTTTTTATTTTCCCATAAGAAACTGAACAGAGCTGTAGAGATATTACAGTCTAATCTTCTTTTCGTGGTCAGCTTCCTTTTTTAAAGAAGTCAAAGTTCAGTGTTTCTGAGTTAACTTTATTTTACAGCTTGAGGCATTCCACACAGCGACCTGCAAATTCAAGAAAAAAAAATGTTAGTTTAGTCAATAGACTCATGATGAGATAAGGTTGTAGTTCTACTCAACACACACAAACTTTTTCTGAAGATAAAAGTACTTATTCGGATTTTACCTCGCTTCGTCTTTGGTTGTATCTGCAAAGACACAAATAGCATTGTCTCTGTCCAAAATCTGTTGTTTCAACACCTGAATTTCTAGTGCTGCCTTCTGTTTAGCCTCTTCATGACCCGCTGAGGAGAAGACAGAGTAGAGGGATACACATTTTATGAATGTCCTTATTTAATACTCAATAAATAAGTGAAATGGGAGATGCAACTGTGCTAGGATTTTTAGGATTTTTTTCTAGCTCAGATGAGAGAATGAAACCAATTATATGATAATGATAGTGTGCCTGCAGGCATTGCTGGCACATCTGGTTCCACTGGTTTATCATAGTGTGGTTTCATGATGCAAGACATGCTGATATACCAGCTCTAATCCAGTCTGTGGCTGTAGTCCAATAGTCGAAAAACAAACTTCCTTACTACTTTTCTTTGAACTCGTTGGAAAACGCAACAATGACAAAAAAAGAAATAAAAGATCATTCATAAAGGCTTAAAAAAAGACATCGTCCGGGGCAGGAAAATCCCACTGCACTCTTGACTAAAAGCAATGTAATAAGGAATATGGTAAAGTGACTAAACTAAACGCCTTGTAATTCAAGCAAAATTCCTGTCCAAAACCGAATGACACCCCCTTAGAAGGATGTTTTCAATTATGCATTGTGTCAAATCTCCTTCCCTTTGGTAAAGGATGATCCAGTGTACCCTATATTAAAGAAGATAAGAAAGGAAGTACTTTTCTTTCACCTTTTAGAAATTCGACCAGCTCTTATCACGGCTTCCTCTGAATAGGCTATACTTTTTGGTAATTTCACTCAGTTAGGAACCTTCAAAGAGGGTATTCAACTGCAGCATTAGTATTTCTCCAGAACTCCACCTTTAAAGGGTGTAGGTCCTCATTATGGATAGTCTTGTTCTCTGACTGTATATTGATCAGTTTGGGATTGACCAATATTAATGCACATAATCACACTTTTAACATATCAGCTGCCTTACCTTTAAGGCCTTCAATAGCAGCTTCCGTTTCTGTCTTCTTGTTCTCGGGTCCTACCTAATAAAGGCAAAGTTTGTCAGCAGTTGAATACAAATATGAGAAACAAAATAATTTAAATAGAAAAGGGCTGCCCTTCACCAAATAAATGCTTTCAAAAAAATGAATTTACCTACATAGAATCATGCAAAAGCACCACTTTAAGTATTGTGTCTGCCAGAGACCTGCTCATAGATGGTTTGAAAAAACATAAAATTGACTAAAGAAATGTTAGTTGTGTAGAGGGTCTCTTACACAAGAATCATAAATGAAAAACTTGGATGTGACCAAATAATGAGGATCCTGTCATGCGAACTTCCCAATGTCAATATTACACTTGTGTGCATCCTGGAGAGTGGTAGGCTACTTCCCTGTTAAAGTTGGTATGATTTAAAATGTAAAAAGACAGCAAACCTACAAATGCGTGTTTGTGTGTGCCTTACCTTCTCACTGTTACAGCTCTTAACACTTTGGGTGAAGTCCTGTGTTAATTTTTCAGTGTCTCCCTTCTGCTTCCTCATATTTAGTATGTTGGTGTTCATTGGCATCACCGTTTGCTTCAGCTGCTCGATCTCGGTTTTCAGCGCGACGATGGCATGCTCTTCCCTCACCGTCTCCGCCTCGCTGTCCACCATGCGGGCTCTGACATTAATCAGTTTCATCTCCTGGTGTCCGGCTTGGAAAAGCACGACCGACATGACACCCACAGCCAGCAAGAGCAAAACGTACGCGATCTTCATCTTGACGGCGAAATAAGTAAATTAGCGGTGTATACAGCTGCTGGTCCCTTTGTTGGTCATTCCAGTTAATTCTTCCACCGTGCAGCAGTGTTTCCACCTGCTCTCTCCCTCAGTACGACCTTTCTGTTTACTGTACCTGTTCTACCTGCTCAACAGGCTGGGCGTGACAGTCCTAATTATTTGACTCGCCCTCTCCTGCGGCGGCCAAACAAACACTTTGGATGGTTAGGCATTATATTATATTATACTTCCGGATTGCAACAATACTGATTTTAAAATGTGCAACATGGATCATAGGCCTTTGTGATTGTAAAAAAAGCTATTTTCCAAAATGTCAGAATAAATATTCTTGTTATTCGTTGGTTAAAATGTAATGAACACAACCTCCTCCTTAAATAAATATTTATGATAGTTTTGATTATCACTGTCCTGTTGAATCAAGTTTGGGACTTATATGTATTCAATAATGCTTTAGAAATAACAGAGCCTTTTGATACTTTGTGTGCCTTCTGTACTCCAATCTAAACATTTTACTTTTGTTGTTTGTTACAAAGAAAAATACAGAGCAAATGTATTGTGGCCTTGGGATTTTTTTTTAAATAAGATAAAATGTTTACCATGAATCCTAATTTTAAGTAGAACACATTTCAGGGAGTGTCAGTCATATGAAAGGATAGACACATATTTACAAATAGCTGTGTCTTTCTTAAAATGGTGGTAAAAAATACATTTCCCCCTACAATGGTTTAAGAAATAACATTTTGCTGTAATAATTTATTCTTGGGGTGCCTTGGTAGCCCATACAGGCCTATAGCCCAGGTTATATGTGGGTTAAGGGTTAAGAAGATGTGTAAATATCAGTCTATTCATCACTGTCTCTAGATACAATGTAGCATTAGAATCAGGCTTTATATTGAAAAAGATAGGCAATTCTCTCGTGAGTCAAAGTACGTTGTTGTATTCAACGAGATTATAACACTATGCAAATAATTAGTCCTGTGAGCTCCACTTTGCCCTCTCTGCCAACAGAGACACAGTGATAGTAAAAACAGGATGTCTATCTATTTGCATTTTGTTTTTGTTGCAAGGGGAATATTGCAGGATATGGTGCGCAGGACAGGACCGGTGACACCTGTCTCCTCTCAGATCCAGGAAGAAGGCGTGTTTTCTAGTAACAGCTGAGACACAGCGGAGCTCTCACACAGCACACGTTTATATCCAATCAAAGAGCGCAGGTGAGTCAGCCTCCTCCACTCACTGACTTTAATTCTGCCCACAAAGAGAGCTATCACCTGGGCGACACGGAGAGCAGACACCCATCCCCACCGACAAACAGCTCTCTCCAAGAAGTCTCTCAGCTGCCGTGAAACATGAAGGTGATAATCCTGCTACCTGTGACAATAGCCTTGTCTGTGGCCTTGTTGGGCTTCACGAAAATACGGAAAAGGGAGCACGACAGAGAGGAAAAACAGAGCAAGTTTCAGGATGTCAAGCTGAGGGTGACCAACGAAATGCTGCAAGAGTATCAGAGCGAAGTGACCGAGGCGAAAGACTACATGGAGACGACCACAGCTGACCTGAAAGCCCTCACGGAAGAAATTAAAACGCTCCAGTCCAACGCAGATAAGGCGAAGAATGAAGCGGACACCTGCAATGGAGAAAAGGTGGGGAGAAACTGAAAGTTGCAAGCACAGAGAGGAAAGCACCAAGTTATATTGGATTTAGTGTACAGAAGATTGTGTCATACTAAAAGGGGATGAAATGTTTAACTGTTGAAAGAGGAAGTTAAACTTCAGGGGTTAACTATACAAAACAAAATGCTAGCATTTATTTACAAGCTGTAAATTCAACACCTGGCTCCTTATGGCCATTTGAATAGACTTTGTAATGTAACTCTAATCTTTTTTCTGATTTGACTCGTATCAAGACAAATACCTACAGGGCAAAAAACACACACAACCGGTTTCACCTGCTTAAAGGAAAATCACACTTGCCTTGTTCTTTCAGAGCTTGCTGGTAATCGGCCCAGAGACAAGAGTACACTCCTGCAATGGTTTAATTTTTCATACATTAGTGATTTCGTAGGCATGCTTGAAAATGGGTATCACATAGAATAAACACTGTTTTGTGCAGATCCAGTTACTTTTATGACAGGAGTTCTCAGAAATGTAATGTGGATGTCAGAAAAAAGTAGCTGCATTAAAGTTAGGCCTAATTGTGTACAAGTTGCAGTCTGTGTGGAGAAGATTTATCCACAAAAAAAACTCACTTGTTTTGTGTCATGGACATTTGCTTTTCCACTTTAGAAAATGGTGGCAGATCAGCTGGTGTCAGTCGAGACGCTATTAAAAAATCTCAAAGGTATGTGCCAATGTATTGGACTAAATGCTGAAAAGTGTAAATGTATAAAATATCAGAACACATGGTCTGCTTTATCTATACAGAATATTGTGTTCAGATTGCTATTACATGCATTTCTCTTTATAGTAAAAATGGATCTTCAAGAAATAGTCATGACCCTGGCTTTATTTATGAACCACAAAAAATTCCTCATGTTATTTCATACCTACAGCTGAGCTCAATACGATGCAGACCGGATGGACAGCCGAGGTGGAAACACTCAAACAGCAATTAGCAGCGAGGAGCGCAGTGTGTGACTTTTTGAAAGCAGGATCAGCAGATGCAAGGTAAGGTTACTACTTACCTTATGATAAAGTATATTGGTAAAAATAACACATACCATTTTCTGCACTGGAACATTAATGGTGATAGCTACTGTATTTATATACTGCATTTTATCTTGAAGCAAACTGTGTGGCGAGGAACCAAAGGCAGAGGTCCCTAAACCAGAAGAACCAAAAGCAGAGGCCCCTAAACCAGAGGGACCAAAAGCAGAGGCCCCTAAACCAGAGGAACCAAAAGCAGAGGCCCCTAAACCAGAAGAACCAAAAGCAGAGGCCCCTAAACCAGAGGAACCAAAAGCAGAGGCCCCTAAACCAGAGGAACCAAAAGCAGAGGCCCCTAAACCAGATGAACCAAAGGCGGTTGCCCCTAAACAATAAGAAGCTAAACCTGTTTTTCCACTCACTCCACTCACTCATTATCTCTATAAGAAAACCAAATCTGTTCTTGATACGTTTCCACGAGGTTTTGTTATGAACACATCACCACTGTGCATATTTCAGCCCTTGTGCTTAAGGATAGTTATTAACACTGCTCAAACACACAACAGTCAGGGTATGGGTAATGCTTCACTAAACTGTATCCTGGTTGCACAGGTTTAATGTTTAATGTTGGCAAACTGTGTGGCTGAGACATACGAGACACAGTAAGTAGAAATAATAAGTTGACCACATCCCATGGTGCGGCCAAGTGTCCTTTTTTCATTGAAAACATGCAGGTTTACTTAATTATCAGCCACAAAGCAGCCATTCCTCCTTTTCAAAACCCAATCGATTTTTTAAAATATATATTTATATGCGCTTAAAACAATATGTAATTATACATCTATATTTATTATGCGATTCGACTGCATGTAAATAGGGGTTGATGGGAAATGCAAAAGAACCAGGAAAAAGGTCTGTTTTTATTAGCACTGTTTCAACGCTGTACTTTGTTATGTTTATTTTGCTTCTGTAAATGATTATTTTTTCTGTTAAGTTTTTTCTCCCTCTGTTAGATAACTCCTTCATGTACAATGTTGAAAACACAGAAATAGGTATTGAATAATCGTTGTTAACCTTGTCTGCCTCTCTGTCTTTTGAGTGACCCTGCCTCAGGGTGTGTATGTGTGTGTGTGTGTGTGTGTGTGTGACAGAGGGAGAGAAAGAGGGCGAGACCAAAGCACCGACCAATCAGAGAACACACAGCCTCGGTCCGTCTCTCTCTATAAGCTTCACTCTGTTAGCCTGATGAAGCTCTGGATGTGCACTCTGTGGTCTCGCTTCAAGCTTCATCATGTATTTCTGTTAGAGATTTTAATAAAATGTTCTGCCTAAACTGTTGTTTACAGAATAATCTTGATAAGAGGAAAAGTACTTTAAGACATTATTTGAATATGTTGTTTAATTGTGCTTTTTGGATTCATATTGTATACTAACAGAAATCAGCTTTGTAAAAAGTTCCTGGTGGATATTTGAGCATATTATTCTGGAACATTTGAACGAAAATTAACTATAGGGTTAATAAGTTCATCTTAGTTTCTATTGCAGGATGAAGGTTTTGTATTTAGGAGGAGAAGGTGTTTTTACCTGCTTGATGGTCTCAGATTACTTACCAATACATATTGGTCATGATAGTTAGACGGGGCTGCATAGATCAATTTATCTTTATTTTCAATATGTTCATATTATTCTGTTTATAGTTATTTTGTTATGTGATGCAATAGAGTAAAGATCGAATCCCCGGTGCGAACAAGCTGTTGTTCACAAGTCATTTCCCATATTTTAATATTAAAATGTGGATTTGAACATTTTATTTTCTGCGATTTCTTTTTTACACCTTAAACAGCACCTTATTTTATCCCAGATTAGGCAGAAGAACGCAAAAAGGAATAATCCTGGCAATACTTTCATACTTTGATTCAATTCGATTTTTTTGTGCTGTATCCTTACAAGCATTTAAATACATCAGTTGAACTGAAGCTATCAGCAGAATATAGACTAAAATCTGCATGGGTAATATTTGAACCTTTAAAAGTAGAATAACTTTGGCTTTAATCAGAGGTAATGTTTGCTCTGAGTATTTTATATCTTGGACTTAAAATGACTTAAGTGAATTAGTCTGAATATAGTGGATTCCTTTTTTAATCCACATTTAGTTTCTTTTTGAATCATTCTGCTCTATATCATTATCTCTCACTTTGCCTCACACTTGCCCTCCATCTGTTGGAGATTAAAATACTCCCTCCAGGCTCGCAATTAGGAAATCAGAGGGCTATCATTCCGCCCCAATAGGCTCACAAGGTCAGCCTCGTAACGGCGAGGGTACAGAGACGGGGGGACACTCAGTCTCACTGATGTCACAAGCGAGGGCTGCTGTTCATTAAAGTTACTGTCTAATCATAAAACATAGCATTTATGTTCCATTGTTTTAAAATAGTCTGTTGTCTGTCACTGACATTTGATGTTTGTGGATATAATAAGGACATGACTTTGATATTATATATATATAACAGTCAAATGCTGAATGTTCCTAGGAATAATAAGATGTATTCTGGATTGAAATTCTCACTATCAGCTACACTTGCTGATTTAAAAACAAAAAATATGGCCTCAAACACCAGGTGAAAGTGTTTTTAATCTTTGTAATCCACCATATGTGACAGTTGATGTGAAGTCAACACGTGTTACGACCACTCTGTGTGTTAAGGGGGGGGGGGGCTTAACACACAGATAGAGTGATAATAGCCTCACCAGCCAGAGGTCACCTTGGCAGCAGTGCCCTGATGTTAACATGTATAATTTCCCTACACTTTTAATGGAGTTTCTCAATTTTGTAATTTTCTTCATCTAGTTGGAGACACTGTTTACAGACACAGACACATGTTAACCAACATAACACATACAAAACAAAGAAATAAACGATATGACAGGTACTGACACACATACCAACAACTACTGGTGGAAGAAGTATTGAGAGTAGAATATGCCTACATACTGTACGTAATATAGCACCATGCATGTTCTTTGAGGGACAAACGTAACGACTTATTAACAATGCATTACCTTACTACTCCGTGATGAATAACATAATTATTAGTTATGATTAGTATTAGTGTCATGACTTTGAAAGACTACTCTAGGTTCTTCTGCATAGTTTTATCAAAAACTGTGGCTTTTCAATTTATTAATAATTATAGCTGCCAAATACATATGGTATAGTAAAACAAAAACACCTTTAATATGGAGGTTGGGAATTGTAAAGTATAGCATAAAAAGGGAAATGTTCAAGTACCTCAATAAAGAATAAATGTTCTTGAGAAAATGTATTTAGTTACTTTCCACCATAAATGACCAAAGTCCCTACCATCTCCTGACGGTCTTCCACTTGCCTCAAAAATTCAGGGACAGTCTTTCTATTCAAAGAATATATGTTTCCTGTGTAGAGCTAATGTTGGGGTTATCATCCAGATGCAAAACTTGCTGCACTGTGTTAAAATATCAAAACCTATGAATAACGCAGTTTTACAACTCCCTTGAGTAATTGCTTTTGGTGAAGTAGAGAGATATAGCGAAGGAAAATAAGATTTAGGGAAGTAATAATATTCTCTCAGTTTGTTTATACATTTATTTTTACTTTTCTCTACATATACATTTAATTAAACATTATTTTAAAGCGCTATTATACAAATTAATATAGTGTTACTATGTTTATTGCATGCGTGCATCCCTATGTGATGGTAGTTTTATTTGAATACAAGTCGTATGATATCTGAATTGTGAGTAACAGGAAACAAACAGGGGCGGTGAAGTGACCGCCATGTCCTACCTACAGGCGATAACTGAGAGTTATTTGACTTTGCATCTGCGGTCGTGTGTGAGGGGGCTCACAGTAGGATGAACATCACATCTATTGATCAGGCTAATGTGGGGAGGAAAGGCTTCAGGCCACAGCAGCTGATCAATATACCTCTAATTACATGGGGCACTGACTGTGTGTATGTTCCCCCCCAAACTCACAGGGTTGTGTATATAAATGCTGTCCCACTAAGGAATAGCTCATACACACAGATCACACCCACATTTAACAATTAGTTGGGAATCACTTTTTTGATTGCTCAGAGTAACAACTTTTTTTTTTTTTACTTGAACCACTTGTTTTACTAACATTTTCACTGGCAGGACACAGGGACGCTGAGAAGGGATACAAGGAATTGGTAAGTATCCTCATATTTGTTTTGGCTCGTGTTTCCCTCTTTTATGCCTTTGCTGTGTACACGGTTTCCCTTTAACCTGTCTTTCCTGAAGCCAATATATCCACTGATAGGTGAGACGAGATGTTAACAGGATATCTGACTCCCTGTGTGAGTGACTCCCTCCCTCAAGGCCATCAAATCCCAGCTTTTTCAGTTATTTGTTCATAGTGTTAAATTATACATATGTAATTCTTTCCTATTATTGTCTGTGGTTTAGATTCTGATCCGAAACGAGCTGACGGACAATGTTTATTTAACTCTGTATCTGTCCTTCCCTTATTTACACCCACTGAATTGTCTCTCTTGTCGACAGGTTTTTCCAGTCTGCCGAGGCTCCAACTGGCTAGAAGCTGTGTGATATGTTTGATATTCGGTTGTTCTTGTGCTTCATTGTGTCAACTAAATATCAGACATATTCCTACAGAGTCTGGCAAAAACTTCTGATCCTCGTACCTCTGATAAAAGACCCCTGAAGTCAGATGTTTGGGTATGGTAACTTTTGCAATCAGAGGATTGTTATCTACTGCAGTGTTAAATCCGGCACTATAAACAGGTTTGTGACGTAAAAATGCCAAACCTGACAACAGCCTTTGTCTCAGCAGAGAAGGGTTAGGGTTAGTAACCCTAACTGTACTATTTGTATTCCTTAACTGCACTTGAGGAGGAATGTACAAATAAGCATATTTTTTGTCATCATCTGTGATTTTCTCCATGCAGGATATAAATAAAGCTTGATGGCATGTTAACATCGTCTGCAGTGATTCATTACTCTCTCCACATCTCTGATTCACCTCCAGTTGCATACAAAAATGGGGAGCAGTAGGCCTATGCTTCAAATACTCATTATACTTTAATGAACTGATTTATCGGCATGGAAAATGCTTTTGGACTTTGTCCTAATGATATGACCGCTCTCTCAGTCAATGAAATCTTCAAAGGGCATTTTACTATTTTATAGTACAAGAAGCGTAATAAAGGGCAGTGTGAGCACTGGCTGGAAATTCCACTCATGTGAGAAATAACAATCAAATGAGTAATTGTTTAACAGTACATGTTATATTCACAGAGCTAAGTAGTGCGGGAAGGATTATCTTGGGAAATTCTAAGAACATTTTTAAAACAATAGTAAACTGGATGGGCCGTTCGGTGTGCATTGAAGTCACCTGACGACACTAGATGTCATAAGGCGCGTTCACACCAAGTACTTTTCCCACAAAGGTTCCTGAGAACAACGATTTAGTTGCGTTCACACCTATGGTTCACACCAAAAAGTCCCAGGAACTAAATTAGTTTTAGAGAACCTTTTTTACCCCCTTTTCAGTCCCTGCTAGAGAGCAGAGACTTTCGTGGGAGAAAAAGGTTCCTGTGTCTGATTGGCTGGGCGGAATGCAAACCACGACGCGTCAAACTCCCAAAAACTTTTGTGAAGCCGCCATTTTATTATCCTCGCATTGCATTATTACCATTACCATTAGCCCAGCCCAGAAACGCAGAGAGACTAATTTATGACAACACAAACTAAAACATGGGAGCGGTGGAGATGAGGAGGTGTCGGCGTTCTGGCCGTTTACTCGGAAGGCTTCAATAGAAGCTGCTGGGAGTCCCAGCAGCTTGGTTATGGCTAGAAAGGATCCGTCTTGTGTAACACTCTCGCGAGAGTTTGGCTGAATGTTTAAGTTTGGCAGGCAGCCTTTCACTTACGATCGTTAACATCAGTGGGCCACAGCAAATGATGATGAGAAGCTAAACTATCTATTAATTATGTCAATTACAGGGAGTGTGATTGTTGAAATAGGGTGTTAGCGGTCTTGCTGGTGTTCAAAGAAGAATGACAACACTGTAGATCCACCAACACTATGGTTTATTTTTTATTCACAGGCAAGTCAACGTTCGTCCGGCCAGTAAAAGCTCCCTAGATAGCTCCTGGTGGCCAATAAAATGTTCCCTTGCCAGTGTTTTACTATTATGTCTGTATGTTTCTTCATTAATATTGCTGCTGCATTAATGTGTTATGTTGCATCATGTTACTGCTGTAGATGTGTTTTCCGAGTCCGCTCCGATTAACAACGAAGAGTTACCAACGAGAACGTGACGTCAGTCCCTAACATCCGGGTACTTCGGACCGGGGATTTTGGGCGCGCAGTATTCGCCGTGAAGTTGTTTGCGGTCCTGCCAAGTAAATCCAATAAAAGAAGAAGATGGAAGTGACGTCAAGCCGCCTTAATTTGCCTAATCCACCCCCAGGAACTAATTTCCGGTGTGAAACGCGATCTGTACTTATTTCATGAGAACTAAAGAGTTCTTCAGGAACCTTCTTGTGGAAAAAGTACTTGGTGTGAACGGGCGCCTAAAAGAGGCATTTGTGTGCGTCTACACCAGGTATGTCAGCTCATCCGATCCGTTGTCACATTTAAAAGAAAAATGTAGGGTTTATTTTTAGAACCGCGATTCACTAAAGATTAGAGGTAAAGTGTGTGTGTGTGTGTGTGTGTGGCTTGTGTGTGTGTGTGTGTGTGTGTGTGGTGTGTGTGGGGTGGGGGTGGGGTTATAGATTGCTTATCTCAACTCTTCATTCTCTGCCGAAATCAACTCGTCAGCAGTTTGTTCTTTGCACTGTAAACGAACAAAAAACCTCAATTGTCCTCTGACGGAAACTTTCATTTGGTACATACCCAAACAAACTTTGTGTGTGTGTGTGTGCAATGGTAGGTCTACATAAGCGCATGTTATCAAAGGACTCAGGGTGGTTTATTCAAACAACCTACAGCACAAAGATACTGAAGCCCATTCTCCCTACAAGCCCTAAAATATCTTGCCAGCTCTCCTGCTCATGATAAAACCTACATTTACCTTTTTTATTTCTAGTTTTAACTATTAGTTTTCTATACACAACATAACAATGGGTAATGAATATACCGTACAATGATTGAAGTATCTCAAAAGACACATCATGATAGTATAACGCTGGAAATGAGAAAATCAGCACATCATAGCAGAGTTTTAAAGTTCAAGAAAAAACGATAAATAAATTAAAAAGCAACCTTACTTTCCTTTGCTGACAATTTTAAAAGGCTGTAGAAATAATAGCACATTAGAAGAAAAATAAAAATAGGGAAAAATGCAATTATAAGCTTTGTAAGTTATATACTTTATATTTTCTATAAGTAAATGTAAAATAGGAACACGTTATGCGACAAATTATGCTTATATTGATAAATAGTGATAGTAGTAGATAAAAAAATATCAAACTAGAAAAATAAGAAAGATAAAAATAGTGAAAAAACTGTTAAAATCAGTTAAATCACAAGAAAGATAATAATAAGACCATTGACATTGCATTTTTCAAAAGAAAGCATCTGAAGTATTATTTTTATTTGAGGTCACAATAATATACGTTGAGATGCACCTGGACGTTGAGCAGGGGTCAGGGGTCACACAGTGTGTGGAGGACAAAAGGCCACCGGCTGGTTGTCCGAGGGATAGACTCCCACTGAGATCTACTGATAGGCTCAAATGGCAAACCTGAGGCAAATGTTATCTGAAAGCGAGCACACTGTATACTCTAGAGCAATTTCTGTGCAGCATCACAAGAGGGGATGACGAACATTGTAATAATAAAGCTTGTTTGTGTTTGTTTGTGTGGGTCTGCATACTGTATGTGTGCGTGCAGATATCGAAGGTAAGTAATGAGCGTGGAGGGGGGACTAATGGCAGAGAAGAAACTAGAGATNGTTAGTTTACCTTATTTCTTGTCAAAAGAACCGTTAATACTATCGTTAAAAGGACCGGATCGATAAGCAGTATTGATATAAGTAGTAGTACAGTTAAAACCTTAACGTTCCGAATAATCGATTAATCGTTTCATTAATCGATAGATTAATCGATTATCAAATTAGTCGTTTGTTGCAGCCCTAGTCTGCATACTGTATGTGTGCGTGCAGATATCGAAGGTAAGTAATGAGCGTGGAGGGGGGACTAATGGCAGAGAAGAAACTAGAGATAAAGATGAGCTGGTTCAGTATAAATATCTGAGCCCACGGGCAACGAGAGCATCAGTTCACTGGCGCTGAGGAGGAGACGCAGATGAGACAGACGAAAAATAACAACAGAGTGAATGACAGCAAGAGGAAAATCCAGACAACAAGAGGAGGTTTTTATAGTAAAAGAGCAAACTTTGCAAGAGGTAAGGCAAAACATCTGGAAATTCTTTCATGTGCTGAGTATGTTCTGCTGTTTCTCTATGTGTACCTGTGCGCTGCTTCTTTTCAGAAATGGCCCTCGCAGCAGGAGGAGTGTTTTTGGCTTTACTGTTGTTCCTGAGTGCCGGTGTGCCATGTTCCTCTGTGTATAACAGTGGAGAGTGCTTCTTCAATACCAAAGGTGCAGGATGTTCACATAAATGTGTCCGGACATATTGTTTCCAACAGTGTAATATTTCTACTTGACCAGTGGAACAAAGTAATTAAATTATGTATATGCGTTATTTGCACTACATTTATGCTATTTTATAACTGTTCAATATATTTAGATTTGTGTACTTTATACCCTGCTAAACATTTTGGTTATAATTTGTAAATGCTAAACATTTTGAATTTTTCAAATCATATCATCCGAATATAAAACGTATACACCTGCTGAAACCATGAAATGCTGGGTAATGCATCACGAATGATAAAAGTATAATATTATATATATAATTAGATAAAAGCGAGGATTATGCGTAATGACCACTCCTCTGTATTCGCATGTACTTAAAAATATTTGAATGCAGGATGTTTACATTAGAGTACATTTCACAAAGTATGTATTCTTTATATGTAATCAACAGCAGGTCTCCCTTGAAAAACAGATCAATTGATCTCAAGGGATTCACCTGGATAAATAAAGGTTTGAAATGAACACTGATTTGTTCTTTTTCTTTTTATATTATTAGCTAGCTGTGAACACATGGGACAGATGTACGGGATAGGAGAGAGCTGGATAACCAGTGACTGTTACCAGTGTGTCTGCATGGAGCCTTTTGGAGTAGGATGCTGTGACCAGTGAGTTTCTTTCTAAATTCACAATCCTCCCCAAGAAGTATTTCACTTATTTGGATGTAGAATAAATCTACTGTTACTGTGATCTTACCCTACAGCGGACCTCAACCTGTGGACTATCCAGACTGGTGTGAGGTCATCCGTAAACCTGACTCATGTATGAGTGTTGCGGTGATGAGAGTCAATCACAAACTACCCTGCCTCTGGGGAAGAGGACGTCTCAGGCCAGATGCACGCAAAACGTGGAATTCTGACAATGATCCTTTATTTTGAGTTTAAGCAATTACATTAAAAAAAATAAGGATTAAGCTATGTGTGAAGTGTATTTCAGATTTTTACATTATCAAAAAGTTTGTGAGGCTCTAAACTGTACTGAATGATATAACCAAATCTGCAAATAACTCCCACAGATTATCTGTTAACTCTGCATAATTACACACTTTAGACTTGTGTTGTGGATGTATTTTTTTGTTGTCTGAATGTCTTGATTATTTTTGGTTCATATTTTAAAATGAAAATAAATGTATGTCCAATTTCTGGGATTGTCAAATGGGTTATTTTTTATTTTCAAATCTGGTTCACACATTTAATTGTGTTTTTGCTTGCTTGGCAGAAAATATACAGTATTTTGCGCTGTTTCAAAAACAGTTAAAAAAAAATACTGAAAACAAATGTTCAAAGACATGACAGTTAATCTGCAGGGTTATGGGATTATCGAAGTTGCATTAACAGTTTTTGAATGTACTTATATCTTATTTTCAGAAGATGTCCCATTTTTCACAGGTCATGGTTTGTATCCAGAACGCATCAATATTCATATCTAGATAGCAAAACTGAAAGTAAAGTTAATGTTTTGTTTGTTGGTCTATTAATGAACTGACTCGTGCTCCGTGCTAAACTCTCAGCCATCTTTATTAATAATAATCTTTTTTCAGGTATTTTACCTTACATCTGGATTTAACCATAGATCACGACTCTGTAGCGACACCTTGTGGTATGAGTGTGTATCTATCTAATCATCACAGTTATCCCTTGAATATTAAGTAAAACATACGAGATTTGCCCCTGAATTGTAGGGCAGTCGAAGAAGAAAGTAGCAGAAAGTAAAAATACTCATGTAAAGTAAAAGTACCTCAAACTGTCTTTCGGTAGGCTAGTAGTTTGGTAAATCTAGCCTATTATCCCGAACAAGCCTTTTACCATTCCCTTTCTTCAGAAATGAATGACATTACTTAAATAACATAGATTATTTCGAATTTGTGAAAGATGTACTAACCTTTTCACAATGCACATTAGCATTATGGCTGCACTCAAAGGGCCGGTTGTAACTATATAAATGTACATATATAAATATATAATATATAAAATGATGCATTATATTACATTATTCCCTCTGAATTGGATTATTATCGGATAGGGTAATAACTTCATAATGAACTAGCCTACGTCTGAAAGCAGAAGTCTAGGGCAAATAATTGCAAGTCTCTTCAGTGCGCATGTCACAAAATAAGATGCATTGTGGGACATGTAGTTTATGGACAACGTGCTTCTGTACAGCAGCATTTAACCGAATAATTATATTCTGTTGCCGACCACTTCAAATGAAGGAGTTCCTTATATGGAACAGTATTGATGTTACAGATAGCCTCCTGTAGCTCTGTCTTAACGTCCTGTAAATGTTCTGTAAATGTTCTCTAAACGTTCTGTGAATGTTTCCCTGCAGGTCACCTGGTTTTGGACCTGAACCACATGCTGCGCCCGGCCAAATCTCCGGAGAAATGTGACCTTCAGCTTCTTCAGCAGGCGGGGGGGAAGCTGGTGTCTCTGTTCGAGCAGAAGACTGTGAGAGGGTGGTGGCCCTGCAGCTGTGTGATGAACGGAGAGAGGAGCGTCGCTGTGAGACACACACACACACACACACACACACACACACACACACACACACACACACACAAAGACTTTTCTTTAATGCCGTTGCCTTTTCGTTCCTCACACTGGTGTGTGTGTGTGTGTGTGTGTGTGTGTGTGTGTGTGTGTGTGTGTCTCANTGTGTTTGAGAGTGTGTGTGTGTGTGTGTGTGTGTGTGTGTGTGTGTGTGTGTGTGTGTGTGTGTGTGTGTGTGGATGCCAAAGCACGGACGAATGCCGGTGTAGATGTGTTTGTGTCTCACTTTATCCACAAACTCTGTCCAAGTACATTAAGTTATCACTCTGCAGCAACAAGGGTGGGACGCTGTATTAGAGTGTGTGTGTGTGTGTGTGTGTGTGTGTGTGTGTGTGTGTGTGTGTGTGTGTGTGTGTGTGTGTGTGTGTGTGTGTGTGTGTGTGTGTGTGTGTGTGTGTGTGTGTGTGTGTGTGTGTCTGTAAAAGCCTAAGCGTTGTGTGTATGTGTATGTGTATATATACCCCTCTTCTTAAATACTTCTTGCGTTCCCCCTCTATCCCGAATGGGACAGCAGGTGAGCAGAAGCTTGGCTAAAACGTTGCCTGTGCTGTGCCTCGGAGTGGTTGTCCCTCATCACAACCTTTCCCATCTCATCCAACAGCGCTGCAGCCGCTGTGGCCCCACCTTCTCTTTCTTTATTCAAATTACATGAACAAATACAGTCTGATGTCCTTTGATTATAATCTGACTGTATTTTTCATACTAATTTTGTACAATTTTACATGTAATTTATGTGTATTCTGCCAAGATTATTTTCTATTAATTATTGAGAGGCACTTCCTCCCTCCCGCCCTTTGAAAGCCAGGACTTCTCATCAGTTCCTTTTGTCCATTTCTAACCGATTGATACAGTCTGCAATGTCATTCTCATCTTAAGCCAATATTTTACTACCTCATTTCCCTGAAACGACAGTGCACTCCCCTAACACTCCCTGTCCATGTTCTGCTAGATTGGGTTGCAATAATAAACCTGCTGTAATGTCTTGACAGAGGACAGGTGGCTCTGAGCTCCTATCAGCCAAACACCTGTGAGTGGACCTGGCCCACATAATCTAAGTCAATGGTATTTCAGACGCTTGTATTCAATGACCTCAGTCATGTCCATTGACGGAACTTTCTTTTTATCCCTCAGCACCTGCATGTCTGATCAACTTAACTTACTACTACTAACTGTTCTCACATTTCTCACAGGGTCTAGCTTCTGTGTCTGTCTGTGTGTGTGTGTGTGTGTGTGTGTGTGTGTGTGTGTGTGTGTGTGTGTGTGTGTGTGTGTGTGTGTGTGTGTGTGTGTGTTCGCGTGTGTGTGTGTGTGTTCGCGCGTGTGCGTGCGTCGACATAAATAACGGTCAAGTGAGGATTTAAAATAGTTTTCTATATATTGTTTGTTTACTTTCTCTTATCTTCTTGTGACTAAATAGATTTTGCCATGAAAAAAAAAGAAGGAATTATTGAGGAAGTCACTTAGAAGAAGGATAGAGGATGTTAGTGAATCCTTTTCTGGATATGTGCAAATAATACATTAGAAACTGTGTTTTAATCTCCTATATCCTTATTTATTCATATATTCATACTTTCCTATAAGGTGTGAAATGAAAAATATGAATAATAATATTAGTCCACAAGCTAACATTTGTATTTCTCCGGGTGTATCATTGATCAGTAAATCATTCCAGCATGTTCTTCATTTCACTCATTATTACTGTTTAAAGCGGATCAACACTACAAGGTTTTGACAGAAAACGCACTAAAGCAAATTTCTAAATCAAAGATATAAATCTCTGTTATAGTTGGGACAGCTTAAAACCGTATCAGTTGATTTAATCAACCTGAAATATTGTAGTGTGCTTCATCTGTCATCAAGTTGTCATTACTGGTTTTTAATACCACCATAATCACTGCCGGTGGCTTCATTTAGCCCCATCTCAGATCAAACAATGACGACCTCTCTCTGAGTCTGTCTGTTATTGCATTGTCTCCTGATGAGCCACACTACCAGAAGCTCTCTAGTTAAACATGTGTCAGCAGCGTAATGAGCTTTAAGTGACCAATGGCGCAGCAGAAGATGACATTTAAGTGCTGCTCAGGTTTGAGTCGATGAATGCAGGACATCTGATTGGAATAGATTTACTTCAGATGTTGATTGTGCTTCAAGTGAGTGTATCATCCAGCAGGATATGATATTTGTACTCAAAGTGAATAGAAGCAATCACTCAGAGCATTTCAGAGTTAAGAGCTTGATTTCTCAGAAGACTAGTGAGAATCTGTTGAATACTGAGGTGATCATTTCAGTGTCACATGATAATGCAATAACTGATTTTGTGAATCATCGACCACATTCTTCATGCAGGACAAGTTCATAAATGCAACTTAGACCTTATTCACGTCCTATATATATATGTCCATATGAACTTCACAATCTTAGCTCTACTGTATACCTCCATGTTGTAATAAGGATCTTCTCTGAACTGTGAGTATGGTCAACACGGGTAAATCCTGAAATATTCATGGTACAGTGTAAGAAACACAAACTTAATTAAATATGACAAACTGCTATGTCTGTTGCACTGACATTAAATGTGAGGTATTACATGTCAAAACAATATCTTTTTTTCTAAGTGTTTTTTCCTGTAATTTGTTTGTGGGGAACAAGCCCCCCTCTCTCCCGGTATTATGTAAAGATGCAGTCTGTAGTGTTTCCACGGTAACTGCATAATGTGCTGCGGTTGTGTTGAACAGATTCTACCTGCCCAAGAGGTTCTCCGACTGCAACGTGGAGGAGTACTATAACTTTTTGAACAGCGGTGGAGGAGCCTGCCTGTTCAACAAACCTCTGAAGGTACGTCACACTCACACATTCACTCATAAACATACATGTGTCTTCTTAGCAGTGTTGGAATGTAACTAAGTACTGTAATTAAGTATAATTTTAAGTTTTACTTACTAAGTATTTCCATGTAATGCTATTTACATTCACTACGCCTCAGAGGACATTTTATTGTTTTACTGCACATGTATTTGCTAACTTTAGTTGCACCATGAAGATTCAGATTATCAATACAAAACATAATAAACAAATAATGTATTATATGTTATTATACATTCATCACATAAACTTGTGTAGATCCCTTGGTGAAATTCACAAACTACACTCCTCTTTATTCAGCTGCAACATTTAAGTGATGAACACATACTGCTTAATTTGTATCTAGTAATAATACAAAAATATGTTCTATATCTGAAATAGGTAAATGCAGAATGAGTCTTTTTACCTTTGGGACTATACTGGTGGGTTGTGCTAGAGCTTTTGTACTTCAGTTAAGTTTGACCGCTGGATACAACTTGTAAAAGAGTACTTCTGCACAAAAAAAAAATGTCTGAGTACTATGTGCACCTCTGCTTCTTATCATTTTAAATACAAATGATACTTTCCCCCCTCAGCTGCTGGACCCTCCTATTTGTGGAAATGGCTTTGTGGAGCCGGGAGAGGAGTGTGACTGTGGCAGCCCGGCGGTAAGTTAAATCACTGAAGACTCCCTCATGCTAATAAAGAGATGTAGTGCCCTAAAGGGATAGCTTGATAATCATCATAATTGACAGTAGTGGGTTTATTAACCAACAACAAAACCTGCTGTGTCACACTAATAAGAGGTCATTTAAAAGCAATGAAATAAAGTCATATGCATGCACTGCATACACACTGATAATACCAGAGTATGTCCAGAGAGATGTCTGTTTAAATGATTTAGAGGTCATTATGTGTTAAATAACTCAAATCTAATGACGACAACTAAGATCAGTTTCTGTTTGTGTGCTTGTCTTTTAGGAGTGTGCCATAGAGGGGGAGGCCTGCTGTGACAAGTGCACCCTGACCCAAGGCTCCAAGTGCAGCAACGGACTCTGCTGCGACAGCTGCCAGGTAAAGTACAGGACACACTTTCAATCTCTACTGGATTGTATTTGGTTAAACAGAGAAAACTATTCATGATACCACCCCTAAGGATTATGCCTTTTATGTCTTTAAATCCAATTCCACTTGGATTTACTCTCATTTTGAACATCTCTGTTTTAAACATGGCTAACAAAGAACACATCCTTACAGTTACAGTAGAGATGGTAAAATATGTTGAGTCTAGGCTGTCTGCTAAATAATATTTGTTAATTGCTACACAGCATTGTCAAAGTTGGACTAATGGTACTTTGAGATGTCAAGAGGAAAGAGAGAGTTGGTGCAGATGGTTGACATTTCCTGATTGAGCTCCTGTTCCTCTGACACAAAGCCCAATTACAAACACTCACATTCTGTTTGACCTTCAGATGGAGCTCGCGGGAGTCGTGTGCAGAGATGCAGTGAACGACTGTGACATCCCAGAAAACTGCACAGGCAACTCCAGCCAGGTGAGCCTCCCTTGCAGAGTTTCCTGCAGCTGCAGCTATAAACCTCATCTTCAGAAAATCACAGGATGTGCAAGACTCTTACAGTTAATCACATTGTTCTTTGCTCTCTTCCAGTGTCCAGCTAATGTGCACAAGATGGATGGCTACACGTGTGAAAAGGACCAGGTGAGATATTCAGATACCTTACTTTTAAGAAGTCTTTACTTCTGCACAGGTGATTGTTGCTGTATCTATATGGCTTGAGGATACAGCTAAAAACAAACTTAAAAGAAGAAGAGAAAATCCCATAATCTTGAAGTATTGATTGTTATAGTATGGGTAAACTCACTAAATGTAAACTGTGACTCAAGGTTTGACACTATATTTCTCTCTCCAGGGTCGCTGCTTCAATGGAAGATGCAAAACCAAAGACAGACAGTGCAAGTACATCTGGGGAGAGAGTACGTGTGATATTCCTTTGTGCACATTTATTTGGTATTGACAAATCTGCAAAGACCATGAGATAAACTCCTAAAGCCATAGATGTTAATGCTCACTGTGTGTGTCTCCCCCAGAGGCAACAGCGGCCGATAAGTTCTGTTACGAGAAGCTGAACATCGAGGGGACAGAGAAGGGAAACTGTGGGAAGGACAAGGACACCTGGATCCAGTGTAACAAACAGTGAGCGAGACCTTCTGTGACCGAACCCTGTGCACTTCTGTTAACGTCCTATTTTCGCTCTCCATAATGTTTGGTTGCATCTTTGTGTTTCAGGGATGTTCATTGTGGGTATCTGCTGTGCTCCAACATCTCCCCCTCCCCGCGACTTGGAGAGATGCAGGGAGGACTCACCTCCTTCTCAGTGGCCCGGCACAGTGCTTCTCTTGACTGCAGGTACACATCATTGAAATACATCCTGAAATATACAAAGTCAGTAAGTTTTTCTCTGGAGTAGTTTGGTTCCCTCATTCTGTATTTCTAGCTGTTGAAACGAGAAGGTACCGCTGAAAGGCAACTTTTACTAGTCAACTACTTTTAAGATTGGAAGGAAATATTTGTACTTTGCTGGGTTTTATCACGTTAAATGCTTTGTGAGTGACTCATGTTTGTTGTTCAGCGGGGCTCACGTGGTGATCGACGGAGACACTGACCTGGGATACGTCGAGGACGGGACGGCCTGTGGGACCGACCACATCTGCTTCAATCACAAATGTATCCAGATCCAACAGTTCAACTTCAGCACCTGTCCCGGGTCCACTGACAAGATGGTCTGCTCCGGACACGGGGTGAACACACAAACACACACATACACAAGGGGAACAAACATATCATAACAAACAACTGTGCGACTATTTCAGCCGCTCAGCTCAAGCCCCAGATTGTTGTGTGTAAGTCGGATAGTTAGTTTTTTATTTAGCGTAAAGAAGCTCCAAATAGTTAATATGGTTATTTAGGTCAGTGTTTCTTTTTTATAAGAATGCAATAGGATCAATTCAACAACAGATTCTGACATAAAGTTGAGAAACAACCTTTATATAATGTAATGTCTTATTTGCTTGAATGAGCTTGCTAACAATAATATTACTTAATAAATATACAGGTTACACATTTCAAAACATCAGCATTACTCCCTGAAACCATAAACTACACTCGGCCTTTTGAATACCATGTCAGCACATTTGTTATTTATGGGCAGGATGTGGGGCACATTTTTAATTGCACACTTATTTTGGTGTCACAGCACCTTTCTCTGATCAGGTGTATCCTTTTGTTCATGAATATTTTTGCATTATAAGCATACACACTTTGTTAATAATTATTTTATCAAAACATGTCACACAACAGTCTTTCCAAAACATATATCGTGCTAGTGCCTGCTATTTAGCACAACATGTACTGTGGGAGTTCAGAATGCAGGTTTTTGAATATTCTCTGTTACTGTAGGTGTGCAGCAGTGAACTGAAGTGTGTGTGTAACCTGGGCTGGGCGGGGGAGGACTGTAACTCCACGTCTCCTCTCAGCTATCCAGTGGTCGGACCCACCGCCCCAGATTCTGGTGAGAGATGTTAACCCTCTACACTATTCGATGCCTCTCTCCTAACCTGTTTTCAGCTCACATTATCTGCACCTTTCTTTCATTCTTCTCTACTTTCTACACATCAACTCTTTCTAGCCACCTTTCACTCACTTAAAATCCCATTCACAAATATTAATTTGAAGCTTTTCTTTTTTTTTTTTTTTTTAGCCTCTGTGCTGGGTTTCATGTCTGCTCATTAAAACCAGCTGCATTTGTATTCACTGAACCATGCATGTCATTCTTTTTTTTTTGTCATCCTTTTCACACTCATTCTTTGTCGACAGGCTGATGTCTTTGACGGAGTGACTTGAGGTCAGATTTGAGTTCCTTTTCATTGTATTTGTCCTGTCTTTGATGTCATTTCCTGGTCCTCTTCCTCTCTCACCCCACCTTCAGCTTCACCTTCGTCCACTAATTCTAACCTTCATTCAGTTAAAAACAAGCAGTTTGTAATGTTGTCCTGAATGGGAACCTACTGTAGGTTCCTCTCAGAGTAGTGCTAAAGTCTGACAGCAGTTTGGTTGTTCTCGGTTTGTCCCCCCTGTTCTCCTTTGACACTTCTCCTGCTAAGTGTACTGTGTTTTTGTGTTCTGCTGCAGTGGTTTGTGGTTCATGTACCCCCTTGTGCCCCCACTATTCAGGAAGCAAGAGACACACATCCAATTAACACACCTCCTCCTCCCCACTGTCCTCTCTCCCACTGTCTTAGGTTACACCAGTGCCAACATCATCATCGGGGCCATCGCCGGCTCCATCCTCTTCCTCGCCCTCATCCTGGCTGCTACAGCCTGGGGTTACAAGTGAGTCCCTCAGCCTGCACTAGTGATGCTTTATGGATCCCAAACTGTTGATCAGGACCCCAAATAGGCATCACAGGGAGAATTATAGGTTATAACTTGGTATATCATTAACAAGAAAGGAAGGAGAAAAAGCAGAATTCTGCTACACAAGATTATGTTTGTTATATCTTCTTTTCTTTTTTTTACTTATGGAATATGTGGTAAATGCTCGTGTGTGCTGCTCTTGCTATTTTGCACTTTTTGCATATCATGTAATTTTCTTAAATGTTTTATGTGAGGGACTGCGGATGGAAATGAGCTCTAAGCTAAATCTGGCACTGTTGCTCTTGATACAATTGAATGTTTTAAGTGTTCATTACTGTGCATTGTCCCTGCCAAATAAACGATTAAATAAATAAATAAACTTAAACCTTAAGGGCTTCCAATAATCATTAAACAAAGCTAGCAACAATGGACATGGACAACGGAAATGGCTTTGTATTGAGGGGTCCTGAGTCAATAAGACTGGGAGAAACTGCTATATAGTATGCAATTTAACCATTTAACCAAATATATTCTATTGTTTTTTGACTGAGAATTATCCCTACTCTTCACAGGAGCTACAAGCAGAGACGCTATGAAGAATCTGAAGTTCACCGAAGATTCTGCCGGTTTGCTCATTTTAACTTTTTTTTTTAATGTGCTGCATTTGAGTCTAACATACATGACAATTACAAGTTTTGAGAACAAGTGTCCTGTAAATAATGTATTTTTTATACACAAAAAAAGCTAATGTTATTTTTGTCTCCAACAGTGGTTTACATTTTTTGTCTTATGGTTAATACAATTAAATGTATATTCATTATACTAATCCAGTCGTGGCACATACTACTAGAAACATTTATTATATGGCAAGTTGGAGGATATCAAAAAATACCGCTCAAAGCAAGAACAAACATTATTTTATTTGTATTTGTTGATCATCACAGATTTATAAAAAATAACTACAGTGTGAAGGGTGATTACTTCTGGGATTTCATATCTAAAAGCTTTCTTCTGTATTTCCAGGCAAATGCCCCCAGGTGACTATGTAACAAAGCCTGGGGATGCAGACTCATTTTACAGTGACATGCCTCCGGGGGTCAGCACTAACTCCGGCTGCAGCTCCAAGAAGAGGTCAGCCTGCCGTCAGATTTGCTCCCTGTCCTTCACTCCCTCCATCCCATCCATTTCTCAGAACATCTCAGTGTTTGGCTTCAGGTGTGCCATCTCATCATCACTCATTCATTTGCTGGCAATGTGTGTGTGTGTTGGGACACTGGTGTTTTTATATCATGCTTTGTTACTATCATGGCTTTCATAATGTGTCTCATTCTGCGCACATTTTGACTTTGAATCCAAATGTTTTCAAAATGATGCACATTTTGCTAATGGAGAGTCAAGCAGAACAAATCTTGCTACTACATTTCTCATATCATGTCACTTTCAGCTGCCATGATATAGTTTCCCGGCTCATAATGTTGCCATCTGCTTAGATGTTGTCTTCATATTCAGCTTGTCCGTCTTCTCCACTAATGCAACCAGAGCACAAGCGTTACGCGATTTGTTGCAGCTTATAAGGACGATGATGATCTGATAATATTCCCCGCTGTGTGTGTGTGTGTGTGTGTGTGTGTGTGTGTGTGTGTGTGTGTGTGTGTGTGTGTAGATCTAATGGCCTATCACACTCGTGGAGCGAGAGAATCCCAGATGCCAAACACATCTCTGACATCTGTGAAAATGGGCGACCGAGAAGCAACTCATGGCAAGGTAACGCACACATCCCCACTCATATAGTTCCTTCAGGGAGAGAAAACCCTTAACCTCTGCTGCACTTTTGTTTTGGTATTTAGTATTCAGATTTTTAAATGAACACTTTTAGATGTGGGCTTTGGATGTAGCCATTTTGAGCAGGAAAATTGCTCTTTATGGGTTTTTTTATTTGTCGTATTGTGTATATAATGCATATATTGTTTGTGTCTGTATGAGATGAGTTGGCGGTAAATTCGTTTTTTCATTAGGGATTGATAAAGTTTACTAATCTAAACTAATATGAATAGCTAACATCATATGGGGGCCTCAAAAAGAGAAAATGTGTGAATAAAGTCTTCATCATTTGAGGGAACTTAGTTTCTATACAACTAATACTATAGGGAACAAACACATCACAGCCCTTCTCAGGGTTCTAATTGTTCTCTCCTGCAATAAACATCGCCCCCAGTGAAACATGTTGCAGGTAATTGTAGATACTTGTATTTAAAGAGTGTGTTAATGTTTTGTTTCTTTTCAGGAAATCTGAGTGGGAATCGTAAGAAACTGAAAGGAAAGAAGTTCCGTGCTCGCTCCAACTCCACAGAGTAAGTCCCGGCATTTTGTGAGGTTTTTTAACATTGTACACAGGATGTACAAAAAACGATAAGCTCTGGTTAAAGTACTATATCTATAAATAACATTTACAAAAATCCCCAAAAATATATCGTCGTCAGTCTTTGAACAAATTCTAAATACCTTGTCCCACCGGTTCCTACTAAAATGTAAATCATCAATCATTTAAATTTGTGAACAAAAGGAGGCTAAATTATCTCGATGGAAACAACTAATCCCAAAAGGTGGGTTGATAAATGTATGTATCAGATAAAAAAAATCACCTTATATGACTTAAAGGGCTCCGTACAAAACAGCTGTGTACTGTGGTTTATGCAAATGTTTGTCAAACGGGAGCAAATAGCGTAGTTATTTTTAAATATTTAAAAATATTTAAGTATATAAAATAGATATAGAAATACAGGTTTGGTACGCTCGAGAGTACTTACAGTCTTGACAGGAATGAAACAGTGTCTGTGTTCATCCATAGGTGTATTTAACCATGAAGGTCTAAAAATGAGTAGGATCAATGTAATACATGTCATTAGATTTGTTGACAATAAGAACATTTCCAATCTTACTGTCCTTATCAGTAGGTAAGTTGTATTGTGGCTGCAAAAAGATTACAACTCTTTATGCTTCCCTTCAAATGTTCCTCAAACAGAGGTATCGATTATGTTGCATTGAGCGCTGAAGGCTAGTCAAAGGATTGTAAGATCGTCTCTAGCAGTGTAAACTCGTTGCTCTTGTGAGGCTGTACCACCCCTCTAAATCTTTACTCACCTTAAACGAGTGTTTGCATTATGCCTGTTGACTGTGGATGAACGTTATGCATTGGCTGCTTCCCAGCCTGCTGCGTTAGTGCTTCTGTTCTCATTGGCCAGCATGAGACTGACTGCGAACTGCTTGGAATGAAATGTAACCAATATGCAACTGAGCCTGTGACACACCACACAGTTGTTTGTGATTTCCATGGTGCCGTTTCCATCAGAAACCACACACAGGTCTGTCCGCCATCTTCTCACCATTTTCTCAACTGCATCTTGGTGTTTGTTCAGGATATCTTTGCTCTGCTCTGCTTTCTTAAATATGTCCTCTTCCTCTCTCCTGCCCTCCACACTTGCTTATTTTCTGTCCTTTTCAATTATATTCCCTTTCTTCCTTTTCTCTCTTCTCCCCCTCCTTGTGTTGTGACCATCAACCCCCCCACCCGCTCCCCCTTCCACAGGTATTTAACCCCTCGCTGCAAAGAGTTTTATGATGTAACTAAATGGGTAGAAGATGTGAATAAAAACACTCAAGGACCTTACCTTAGGTATAACTTCACAATATGCCCCTTACACCTCATGCTTGTCTTAAGACCCTCACTTTTGGTTTGATTTGTGGCTTGGTCAAAAAAATGAACAATTACTATTGGTCGAATCTGGACGTTTTCAAGTAAAATCTCAAAGATTGAAGCAGGCATGTTCGACTTGCTGTTCCTAAAAGGGGTAGTTGGGTATTAAACTTATTTTTTTCACTTTCCTTTTAGTTTGAGTGAAGACATTCCTTCTTTTTTGATCAGCTGCACTTTACCTTGCAGATTTTTATTTTCAGCAAATCATTCTGCAGAAAAGAAAATGGCTCTGACTGCCTGTGCAAGAGAAACAATTATAATCAAAGTCATTCATTATTTTTAATTTCTCCGTATTCCCTTCTCCCACTCAGTCCCTTGCTGCATGTTGTGTGTTGTTCTGTCAGTAAGTGTCTGTGTGGTGACCTCACGTGCACTCCCAGTGACCTCACGTGCGCTCCACGTGCTTCAAGTTCAGTGTGATGTCGCTCCAGAGCCAAACATTTTTTGGTCCGTGTTGAGGTCTTCACTGAGCTGCTGTGACAAACTATACTCCGCCACTCTGATCGTGTCAGAGGTCTATAGCTTTCTATAGCCCTTGTTGTTTTCAAGGAAACGTTGTAATCAAGCCACAACATTTCCTTGAAAACAAGAAGGATACTCTGGCCCTGGCACTGTAGAGTTTCAGCTAAAGTAACACAATCAATCAGCACCGTAATAGACCTTGTCCAGGAGCAAACCCTTCTGCCTGCTTTCACATTTAATGAAGGACAGAAACAGTCCATAGGATTGAAGACATTTTACATCAGGGAGCTCTGATTCTTGAAGTAAAGCGAAACACACATTTTCAGACTGATCCAACTGATTTTTTTTCAGAACTTAAATCAGCTCAAAGCAACAACAACAAAAAATAGCAGCTGCTTGGGAGAAAAATCTCTGTTGAATCAAGAGAAGTCACAGGCACCACATGGGGCAGGTTCACTGGACAGGAGCTCCCCCCTGACTCTCTGTTTCTCACCCAGCACCGGCCTGGTCTGTCGTCCCAGTCCCCTCATCATACTCACTGCTCCCAGCATTCCTCATTTAAACACTGATCCTACATTTTTACAAATACACGCTGGTTCAATAGAAGTATCTTAAGGTGAATTTCTCCAAATCCTGGCATGATGTGTGTCTGTAATGCTGTGGCAGGGTGAAGCATGTGAGTTACAGGAAACTAGGACTATGCCCACACCGCTGCTGGGAACCATGAACTGTGAACAGAGGTTGCCCCTAAAAGCTGAGCTATGTTTTTAAAAGATGACATGATCCGTCTGTGTCTGTGCTTTTGGGGAGCAGCAGTGAAAGCTTTTAAGACCAAGCTCTCTCCAAAAGAAGGTGAAAACTAGAGCATCTGAAGGAGGATGTTGCCCAAAGCCACAGATCTAACATTAGCTCCTGAATCTCGCCTCATGTATCCATCTGTGTCTTTGGCCAACTTAATCCTAAAGCAACCAGAACATAAGAGGCACTTTATTAATAATGCCACTTCCTCTTTTCCTCAGGACGCTGTCCCCTGCCAAGTCTCCCACTTCCTCTACAGGATCTATTGCATCCAGCAGGAGATACCCTTACCCCATGCCCCCCCTCCCCGATGACAAGAGGAAAGCCAACAGGCAGAGTGCCAGGGCAAGTGTCAATCATTACACATTACATCATTTAAAGACAGGAAACACATCCCTCTCAGATTAACTCATGGTATTTGTTACATTATATCATGAAATGCTCAAATAAGACTATTGGTGAACACATGTTAATGTCTTCTTTCTTTCTGTCTTCCCCATCCCTCTCTCTTTCCTGTGCTTTCCCCTTTATCTCCTCAGCTGTGGGAGACATCGATATAACCGCCTTCTTACCCGCTCTGCAAAAGATCTTAAGGAATTACACTTGTGTCTCCTTTTCTATGAATGAAAAACACAAAAACAAAACAAAATTGACTCTAAACGATTTAAGAGAAATGGAGAGAAAGCCCCCCACTGGAGTGGAAATAGGCAAAGGTGTGTGTGAGTGAGTGTGTACAAGCATCTCCGAGGCTTTTCTTGCCACACGGCGTCATTCAGCGGGTGACCATGCGGATTGCCGGCGGAGAAACCAGCTCCACATCCACTCCAGATCAGCTGGAGCTCAGACTGAGCTGTTCCTGTCTGCTCAGGCCTCATTTATGGGGCTGGAACCCCCCCCACCCCGACCCCCAACCTTACCTTACACCTCACACAACCTCTTTACATCCCCTCTCGTCACTTCAACGCCCCTTCCCCGTGTTTTGAGCTCCTCTCTAAAAGGAGCAGTGGAGCCAGGAGCAGGTCATCGTATCACTCTGCACCTCTGGATCATTCTGACGCACGTGAATCACTGTAGAAACTCCAACACTGTATGCATGAGACAACCCTGTTTATTACAACCTCCTCCTACTGAAGACACGAGAAGAACCCAAGTCTGATCTGAGAGGAAAGCATGCGAGGGGGCAGTGATTTTAATACTTTCTGTAGGCTTAGGCACTTTCTCTCCACTATAGGTAACCCATATAGTATCACCAGTTATAGCCCATAAGCCCCTGACCCCACCCTGCTCCTCCTGCCCCTCGGTTTGTTCGTGCTGTGTACATATGTACAGTGAAAATACACACAGAGTATGTTTTTTGCTTTTATTTTGACAATAGAGTCGTCTCTTCCTGCTGTATTGTGTTGTAGACAGAAGCGGATTCTCTGTAGAAAAGCGTAAGACACCCCCCGCGCCCGTTCTTCTGTCTGTGTTTCTATTTTTCGTCCTCTTATTTTTCACTCCTCTGGCTTTTTTCTGTGTGATTGTGGCCTCTATAGCTTTCTCCATCCACAGCAGAATGTAAAGGTGTTTTTTTTACATTATCTTAGCACTGGTTTTTATTCATCTCTGGGAGAAATACACAAACATCCAGTAATAACTGAGGATTATTTGAGTGGATTGTGGCACTTTAAGAGTGTTGATGAGTATTATTTAGGAAGAATTCAATAGTTTTATGTGCCATTCCTGAGTGAAATGAATGGGATGTGTTTGGTGTAGTTATAGGCGTGCCAATTTTCACTCATTTTTGGAAATTCACCATTGATAATGTTAAGATGTGTTTAGTTCCCTAAATTCTACATTTGGAGCTTTTTGAGGCCAACGTGCTCCTTTTTCTACAATAGGCAGCACACGAGGTGGCTCAGATGAGATGTGAGAATAACATGAGTGCGGATGATGACCTGATTAAGACAAGGAATCTGGAAACTGTGATCGAAATGTGCATTTTGGATTTAGCTGTATTGATTGAGATATTTAGCCTTGTAAATGATTAACTATGCTGTACAGTGCTTGCTATTTGAGCTTGTGAAGACCGACAGCATGACAGTTCTATAATCAAATTAAGTTATTTCTCTGGTAGGCTATTTGTGAGACCATAACGGTAAACAAGCATGTCACTGAAGGACTTTTTTTTCCATCATTGCCTTTTTGCTGTTGTCCAAATGGGTTTTCGTACTGTAAGCAAATTCAGGACAATTCATGGCAGAAAGTCGCAGGGTCTAAACATTATTGAGAATGGAGGACACAGTTTTTGTGCTGATTTAACGCCAGTGCAGCTATTTAAGGTGGACTTTGGAAATGTATCACTCCCCAAAAGCAAGTTCTTTGTACAGTTACGACTTATTGTTCTACCTTGTGTAGAAATGGTCGTCTCAAGGCCTCCTGTTCGTCATTTTACCGTCGTTAGTTTTTGTTCAGGTGTGGGCACTTGGTCATTTGTAATTCATGTATGCATTAGGACTGTATAGGTAATACGATCTTCACAATATTGGAATAATATTGCTACTAGTATCTTTTTTATTAAGTACCTTTGTAATTTTCACTTTTTTCTCAGCGTTATGTACAGCAACGATTCAAACTGTTATTAAGTGCATTATTGTAATTATGCGTGTTGATGAGTTTGAATGGAGAGTTTTTCATTTTAAACACATTTGTCCCGGGGGCAATAGAAGCGGCAGTTCCTCTGGCATGTGCTCATCTGTATCATATAAGGTTTGGACACACATAATGATGTAAGTGAAGTCTGTATGGGCTCATGATTAGCCTTTTACTTGAGCTTTCTTGTCTTTGCTCTGGTCTTCTTAAAGTGTGTGTAAGTGTCCCAGTGCTGCAGAGAGCCTTATCTCAGAGCTCTTGAGAAACATTTGTACCATCATACTGTGCTACAGCGAGACATCTGTCCTGTTGGTATGCACGGTGCACTGTGCTACTCTGAGGACTCTCCGCTCAGGATGGGACCACGCAGACTGCCGTGATTTCTGTCAAATGTCCAAACCAGGACGACTCTGGCAAAACGTCTCCTCTTGAATGTATTCATGCACCGCCCAGCATTCATCCACCATGTGGTCCCATCCGGCCCGACACATCCGCACTCTGCAGGAACCTTGAAGCCACCACCCCCCACCACCACCTGTACTAATTTAAATATAAATACTGCAGTTGCTGTTTTATTTCACCCCCTTTTTTTCTTTTTGCCTGTATGCTGTACAGACTTATGATGCAAAAATCAATCCTCATATTTTTTTCCTCTTAATTATTCTATATTATTGTAATATATTTAATATAAAATAAAACTTTCATCAACACATCTGTCTATGTGGATATTTCTAACTTCAGACTGTACTTCTTGTATCAAAACTTGCTTTATTAATTAATTTGTATTACACAATATAACAGGATGCACTGATCCAATGGTGACCCGATATGACTGATCCACTGCTTTAGCTAACTAAGGTTCAGCGTTCCTCTCTTCCTAACATTCATTCAGATAAAGCAGGTTAAGATTTGATAACACCCGGGTTCTTGTTACCTTACAGTTTAAATATTTTAGACTTGGGAGGGATAAGGAGAGCTCTAGCATCGGATACGTACTTTGTTTTGGAAGATACCCAGGGTCGAGGTTTGTGGATCAGTAATGAAGAAAAAGTTGGATCAGTGCATCCCCATGACACCCAAAAAATAAATACAAACTTGATCTTCGTGAACAATCTGATGAAATATAATTAAATGTATCTGGCTCAAAACTTAGTGAAGCTTTTGAATTTGATGGTCAACATTCTTTAAATGGGTAAATATGTTGCATCGTTACTCAATAAAGAGGGACCATGTTGACTGAAGTTTAGATTTTGATAACGTTCGACCCGCAAGCAAATATTCAAAGCACAGGTCAACCCTTTGAGCCACATTGGATGTGTTGACTTCCAGGGACAGTTCTGCGCTGAAAGCCGCAATTTCTGTTTCCACAGGGCTTTCTCAGGAGACACTGTTCCCCTGGCTTTAAGCTTTATGTGGTTTGAAACTTTTTTGGAAGCAACCCATCCGTCATTGTCCAGCAGAAATGTTGCCCAAGTTCTTTAAATAGACGTGTGTGAGTTGTGCTTCAGTGTCTGCAGAGTCTGCAGTCTCTGCTTATGGACGTCTTTTTTTTCCATTGCAGCGTCTTCATCGAGGGATTCCCGCATGCAACTTTTCAAATGGTCGATACCGGACCCCGTGAGGGCCGAGACAGGAACCACGTGTCTGAAGGTCATGTAGTTCTTCGGTATCATGTCATCAGCAAGCAGATGAGAGAACTCTAAAGGAAGGAGGGATAACATAATTAATATTCACTTCATTTTAGGGCTGCTACTATGTTTATTTTCTTTATCAATTATCTTCTCATTATATTCTAGATTTATTGTTTGGTCTACAAAATATCTTCCAAGGCTCAAAACCCAAAGATATCTGATTACACTTCTTATAAAAAAGAAAAACCGAAGATATAGCAATGATCTTATAAATAGTTGCAGAAAATAGTTCTACACTAAAACACACCAAACTGAAATACAGCAACACAATAATCCTAAGACATTAAGTTGAGTAAAAATGTGCATTTTGTAATGTTATTACATATCGAGATGGTTTAGCATTAAGAGTGTTAGCATTTAATACACTTGTTTTCTGCATCTTATAAACAGTTATTCATAAATGAATGGATCTTTAATATTTGCTTGAGTTTCAAAGGGCTTGGGTTGTTTGTATTTTATGACAGGGCACTTTCCCCCTGCATTCAGCCTAATGGTGATTGCTATAGCACCATTGTTACATTATGTTGGTTTCAGCTAAATATTCTTCATGAAATATTATACATTTTGTTTTCATAGTCACTGATTATATCCATCTTCTGAATAAGACAATTATCGTCATTGGCAAATAGATAAAGTGTGCGTTTAAAATATAAAGACTTAATATACATATAAATGTCTCACATCCTAGTATTCCATCATTCGCAGAGGACGTTGATAAATCGCTACCTATTTTGGGATCTTAAGGCAAAAGAGTCGTCTACATGTATGTTTAACTACATCTCATTCAAATATGGAGCTATTAAATAAGGCAAATTTACCAGCTGGATTTTGTAGTTGCTCCTTCAGCTCTGCAAATTTGTCCTCAGCGTCAGGCAGGTCCATTTTGTTCACCACCAGTAGAGCAGGCTTTGACACAAGCTCCTCTTTGAACAACTCCAACTCCTTGAGTCCGTGGTGAGAGAGGAGGAGAGGAGATAAAGAAATATGTATGGCATGAGATGGATGGATGAGGCGTTAAGTGAAAGAGAGGAAAGGTAAACAAAAGTTCTTTATTTACAATAAGAGCTTTATTAGAAAGATTTTAGGATATATTTGGAACAAAAGTCGTATCATTAGTCTCACCTTGGTTAGAAGTTGAATAGCTTCAAAGGCCGACCTAAACGGTGTTTTACTTGCCAGCTGGAATCCGGAAACATCCACCTGCAGCCAGAGAAAAGAAAACATCTGGTTATTCTGACCACATTTGAGTCGGGTTGCATGTTTTCCTCAAATCGTATCCACATGTAGTTTTCAACTTATGACTTATTTCAGTCACAACGCACCACAAACATGAGCTGCTTGGTCCTCTCCACGTGTTTGAGGAACTTGTGGCCCATGCCTTTGTTTATGTGAGCTCCCTCAATCAGGCCTGGCAGATCCGCAACAGAAATCTGCCAAAAATACAAAAAGAAATATGAAGAACCTCACTAAATAAGGGGAAACTAGAAAAATAGACAAATCAATTGATACGTAAAAAAAAAAATACATTCCCATACCTGTTTGTAATCTTTATACAACAGTTTGCCGATCTCCGGCCTCAAAGTTGTGACTGTAAAATGACAAATAGATTTTAGAAACGCAACAAAAAAAAGATCACAGTATACATCCGCAATATTTTGTACTCACAAGCATAGTCGGCAATCTGAGGAGTTGCATTAGACATGGCAGTCAGGAGAGAGGACTTCCCTGCATTTGGGTACCTGGCGGAGAATCAACACCAAGAACATCAGATATTAAAGAGAAATACGTATGCCATGTGGAGTCTCATATGAAATAAACAAAATGTTAAGTCATGTGTATTTCTGCTGTCACCCAACAAGGCCCAGGTCCGCGATGAGTTTGAGATCCAGCCGTATCTGTTTGATCTGACCCTTAGTGGGCTCGAAGGCAGAGTAGAAGGAGCCTCCGTGTCCTCCTTTGGCCACCTTTAGACGGTCACCCTCAGCATTCAGGTCACCTTGGAAGGACAGGGTTGAAAAGTAACATTACGTTTTCAGTTGCTTTGCCTCTCCTATCTGATACTGATGTTCTGCCACATATGATGTTCTTACCTCCACAAATACAACAATGAAAATGCATTGGACAAAATGTAGGAGGTGTACAAAAGTTTTACATACCAACTATTTTGCCATCATCAGCGGTGACTGTGACACCAACAGGAGCCAAGATCTCCTTGTCCTCCCCCCTCTCTCCTTTCAGGGCTCGGACGCTGTCAATAAATACAGTTCACACACTCAATACACAAAACAGCCCTTAGCATCTGTGACATGACATGTTTAAGGTTTTGTTTTTCTGTCAATTTATTGAACATGTCAGAAACAAACAACAATAATAATATCTATTTTAAAAAAAATATTATTTCTTATAATAATCATTATAAAAAAAGACAAAAAAAAACGTTCAAGGTACAACAAAATAAAAATAAATTCTCATAGTCTCAGTCTCGGTCATGTTCAAGAAGAAGCTTAAAACAACTTTTCTGTTTCTTTTTACAAAACAATCAAAAATAAATAACTTTTACAATTACAAGAAATAACAAGTATGACTTTACAGATCCTGCTCATAACCATTCATGATTTGGATTCTAAATAATAGTTTTAGTTTAGATAAATATAGAGCTTAGATAAAGATTTAAGTCGTCAGCTTATTTCAATGATTGGCGAATGAGCGCCACAACATATATTCTGATGTGACACTATGAGAGAGGAAGCTTCATTTGTAGAAACAAACCTGCTGTTGGCTCCTGCTCCGGCCAAAAAACGTTTCTGGGGGTACTTGTCCTTGACCTTCTTCAAGGTCACTTTTTTTGAAGCCACCACCCAAACATCCCCCCCGTTTCCTCCATGTCCCCCGAGACGGGGAAGACCCATTCCCCCGCTGCCTCCTCGGACGTACAAACGTAGGTTATCCACAAAGTTTCCATACTGTAGGAGGCAGAGAAATACAGTGATGAGATCTAAATGTGTGGGAGAAACTTTAGAGACAAAGCCATTCATAATAAACAACATTTACTGAGATGTAGTGGCAACATTGTGAGAAAGGGAAGACTGGCCGAAAGAGATACTGCAGGATTACACAATGGCCATACTCAGTTACTTTTAACTACTAGTAATAATGCGAGTGATACAAAAAATAAAATGCAGGTGTTTATTGTATTGGTTTAGTAAAAAATCCCAAGCAGTTTTACTTTTTAAATAAAAGACAACAATGGGAAGTCTTAGGCATCTTTAACTCTTAAGTCTAGATGTGAATGAACTACTAAAAGTACTTTTTACTTACAGCATCTGAGTTTGCATGTAAACACATCCAACAGGATTTGATAGCATTGTTTAATCAAACGATACATTAATAGTTTATTTGAATAATGAGAACATGAAATCACCAATTAGGAAAATAAGAGAGATGACACACACCATTTCCAAGGACAGGCATGAATTTTCATACATCCTTATTGTCATTCCATTGCTAGCATCATATAAAGATTAAACGTTTAGGTAAAATATGCAAATAAAGGCTACAGAGGCACTGCAAGTCAGTCAATGTTTTGACAGCAGTTAGCAAGAGGTAGCTAACAGTTGCTTAACTGCCAATGTCACCATAACAGTGGTTAGTAAACAGACACTTTTGAAACGTTAGCATGTTATTTATATAATGACTGCTACAGTACTTACTTTCCGGAAGAGGATTCTACTTAACTGGACCATCTTCAGGTGCGTTTATTGCCACTTTTGTGTTGTTGACTGAGCTAGCGGCTAGGTTCACATGTGTTTGTGTGAAGGACCGGAAGTGTTTAGGTTATCTCATAGCCCATTGGATCATGAGGCAAATAGGCGGGTTTCCGCAAGGCTGAGTGACAGCTGCTTTTTGTGCATATATAAACAAAACAATGACGTGAGGTTCTCGTGAGATTTCATGCTGTTGAACCACAAGATTTACTACAACATCCCTTTACCTAATTTTTTGAATCTATTGTTGTATGTAAGTTGCACATGTCATCTGCTTTTTTTTAAATAAGCTACCAGCCATAATAATAGTGCTATTTAGGCGTTGTGAAATGTGGATTAAAGGTAGGCGGTTTTGTCAGGAGGAACACTGAGGGTTGTTTCCTCTCTATACAACGCTTATTCTGAGAAAAGCAAAATCACTAAGATGCTGTCCAACACTTTCATATTTTGGGATTTAAAACATATATCAACCCTTTAAATTATTGTCAAAAACAACCTTGTCCTGAGCATTGTTGATGACCCTGTTTGTATTGTCATTTTTACAGACTTGACCTTTCGCCGTCTAGTCAAGGTCAAGTCAGTCGACTTATTGTCAATCTTTCAGTTTTTGTGTTCAGATATACAGATATATATATATATATATATATATATTCAGATATATATGTTTGCATAATACAGCTCTGTTTTACAGTGTTGTAAAGTAACTAAGTAGTACATTTACTCAAATAATGTACAATGCTGAGTATTAAAATGTGTTGGTACTTTGTACTTCCACTCAACTTTATCAGATTTATGTAAGACCTTTAGTTACTTTGCAGATTTGGATTAATGTTCGGAAATATAAAAACACTTAAATAAGACTTCAGTTACATCTGATTCACATACTAGCCATGTTATCAAATATATTACATTTAGCTGCACCTTGCAGCTTTGATCAACACTTTAATGCATCACTACTTATAATCAAAACATAATATATATTGTGGGCCAATCTGCATAATGAGTACTTTAACTTGAGGTATTTTAATTACATTTTGATGGTAATACTTTTTTACTTTTACATTTTGTATACTTGACTTTTACTTGTAACAGAGTATTCTCTCTGGTAGGCCTACTTCTATTTTAACTTTAGATCAAGATTACCTCTGCTGTTGTAATATGCAACCACCTGATTTTAAATGTATCTTGAGATCACAGCTTCCCACTGAAGGACCTCTCAGTGATCAGCATGTCGGCGGCGCTGTGAGGACGAGGAGGCTGAGAGATGCTCTGATCTTCCGGATCTCTTCTTCTCCGCGAACGCGCATGCCTGCCGGTGCAGTGAGATGCGCATGTGACGACAAAAGACCCGGTTTCTCTCTCACACACACACACACACACACACACACACACACACACACACACACACACACACACACACACACACACACACACACACACACACACACACACACACACTGCCGTCAAGGTACCGAGGTAAGTAGCCTGTGTATGTCGTTGGTCTCTTTGCGTGTGTGTGTGTGTGCGTGTGTGTGTGTGTGTGTGTGTGTGTGTGTGTGTGTGTGTGTGTGTGTGTGTGTGTGTGTGTGTGTGTGTGTGTGTGTGTGTGATGACGAGAGAGGTTGGCTTATTATCTCATGCAGAAGCCCGGACAGTCGGTTAGGTCCTCCCACCGGTGTCTGGCTATTTATACGATTAGAACCGCAGCCGTGGGTCGTGATAACAGGACGCGGCTTGGACACAGAGATTTATCACAACGCGGTAAGAGATGCTGTTCTTGGCCGAGTGTTGCCGGTGCCGGTGTTTGTGTGTTTGACCTAAATTATGCAATGACCGTGACATATATAGACGCTAGTCGCATATGTGCTTCTTGTGCCTTATTGGATGCATGCTGCAAGGACCGCTGCTTGGAGTCAGGAGTGTGTGGTGTGTGGTGGTGGGAGGCTTCAGCCCATGAGGATGATGTGGTAACAGACTGCAACATCATCCAGGTCCTCCACCAGCTTGTGCTGCAATAATATCCCCACATATACTCATCTATGTATGCAACCTTGTTCTGGTTTCAAGTTGAAGGCCTGCACAAATTAAACGCACCTTTAAAACAGAACCTGCATTAAATCAGAAATAAAGAGCAATCCTGATTTATTTATTTGTGTTAAATAATTAACGACAAATAAACTAATAATTGTTACTCTTTTGACGACATTTGACGTTAAAAGTGTAACATTTGGCCCAAGTTTCATTGTTTTAATTTGCTTTCCAGAGCCCACAATACTATGCGAGTTCTAGAAAAGTATGGTCCTTCCTCTCATGCTGTACAACATGCACAAGTAGGCACATGAATGGGCAGGGATCCAGTACAACAAACCAAAAACAAGCAGTAAACATTAAAATCAACATTTCTTATCATTTCCTATTTTAATTGTGGATGTATTGTGTTATCCTTGCAGGTAAAGGACTGGTTTGGATGATTGGCACTGTAACGTTGCTATTAAATAAGTTAAATTAAATTAAAAAAACACAGTGAATAAAGAACACAGACTTTTGCTCATTATTTACTCATGTATTTGGCAGCATAATGCCAAAAATATTTAAATTTCCTTGAGAAAAACATTTACAGCAAAGTTGTTGCATCATTTACATCCGGCAGAGACTACATACTGTAATTTAATCCCACTGTTAATTTGCTTTTTAAGACGGGAGATGCAATTAAAAGCCTACAAAATAAGCTAGTTATTGGTGCTTTAGGTTGGTATTTTTTTCATTTTACCAAACTGTTCCCTTCTGTTAATTGGTTGAAAATCTTGTTAAATGACAGTCTAATCTTGAATTTGAATACATTCATGTGGATGAGATGCACTGATTTAAAGGTGTGTACAGTGAAAGTTTCAGCAAAAAACCCAAACTGTTATGACTGTTTGTCAAATCGACCAGTGAGTGGCATGGAAATACCAGTATCAGCCTGCCAGCTGGGGGCACGGCCTTTTCCAAACAGGGCATGCAATTTGTGGAATCCAAGTGCTTTCAATGAAAAGGGTAAACAAGCCAGTGACCAGACAACAGGTTACAGACAGGTCAGACAGGGGGGATAGGGGGATGTGCAGCAGGGATGGCGACAAGGGAGTTTTACCAGAAGTTAGCCATAGTTTTGGGTTGTAAGACAAAGGTGTTGTGGCCAGTAAGTAACAAAGTAAGTAAGACAAAGGTGTTGTGGGCAGTAAGTAACAAAGTAAGTAAGACAAAGGTGCTGTGGGCAGTAAGTAACAAATTAAGTAAGACAAAGGTGTTGTGGGTAGTGTTTTAGTTAGGTTCAGGGTTAAATACAAAACTGGGGCGATAGGCACTGTTTGCTGTGTCTGGTGGGAATGTTTTGGCGGGAGTGAGTGTGGTGGAGTTGGTAGTGGTATGAGAGGAGGAGGAGTTCTGTCAGCATGCCAACACCATATTCTCACCCTGCTGCTGTTGAAAGGGCCGGTAAAGACATAAACAGGTCCAGTGGGATTAGGGCCTACTCGAGGAGTGATCATGGGGGATTTGCTGCCCGGCGGGCACACAATGGCACTGTCGCGTAACACACAAACCCACACTGGACATGCTCAACTGCAAAGTTTAACAACAGACCCAAGCCTACATAAATCTGATTAGAACTCCCCTTTGTTTGGGAAGCCCCACCGGGGTTAACAGACTAGCCGTGCCGCAGGCCATGTTTGATATGACAGGGGGTGGGTTGACGTTGGTTGGACGGCGAAGAGAAAAGCTTTGGGCACGTTTTGTTGTGGCGGGGTGTTTCCACGTGTGTGAAGTCCCAGACAGACAGGGAGGGCTAGACTGTGTGTGAAAGCACAATAACAGGATGAACAACAGTTTTTCCCCCATCCAGTGTGTGGGCACGAGTCAGCTGATGATAGTTGATGCCGACAGGATCTAAGCTAACATGAGACAACAACAACATAGGCAGACACAAAGACTGCAAGCCGGTTTGAACCTGTTCAAATAATGAGACTCAGGATAGATGCTTGGATGCATTGGGGGGGACAAACGGGTCTCCGCTTTTAGTAGAGTACCGAATGGACATTTACAGAAATAATTTCTATCGTTCCTTTCTCAGTGCCGGCTCTGGCCCAGGCTGCAGCCATGCCTCTTCTGGAAGAGACCACTCTGCCACAAGAGCACCCACCCACTGTCCCTGTGGTCATTATAGGTAAACGTTTTGCACTTACCACCTGACCTTAAGTTGTTTGAATTCTTTCTCATTCTAATGTGTGTGATGCAATGCTTTGTGCTCTTTTGTGGTTCTTAACCAAATGTTTCCAATCTGTTTTCAGGCAATGGCCCATCCGGTATTTGTCTGTCCTACCTGCTGAGTGGACATAAGCCGTACCTTGATACAGCAACAGTTCACCCAAACCCGATACTATACAGGAAACTACAGGAGTCCAAGGAACTATCCATCACTGAACAGGCAATAACATCTATGAATTCCTTGCACATGTACACATGATCACAGTCATTCTTACATGTCACGAAATTGACATTTTTGTTGTTGCAGGATCTAGAATATTTGAGCGAAGGTCTCGAGGGGAGGTCAAGGAACCCGGTGGCTGTGCTTTTTGACACACTTCTGCACCCCAATGCTGACTTTGGCTACGAGTTCCCCCCAGTCCTTCAGTGGATGAGGGACAAGCAGCAACACGTCCCACATCTTGTTCTGGGGAGGGCAACGCCTGGAGGTGCTTGGCCTGTAAGTTTCAGGTTCAGTCAGCAACACCATTTAACTATCTATTTCTATCAATGCTTTTGTTTTTGCCCGTCTCTGACCCTTCTCTTCTTTACCCAGGCAATGGAAGGCTCAATGCTGACTATTAGTCTTGGCATCTGGATGGAGCTTCCTGGGGTTAACTATAGGGACTTGACTAACGGGAAACGCAGGTACTGAGAAAGGTTGACAGCAAAGGCATGACTAAAGTCTCGGCCTCATTCTGTGCCAACTCTTACCTCATTGTCTTCTCTTCTCTCTAGAGATGTAACCAGTGACAGAGCCACCCCAGAGGAGATCTCGTCCTATTACCGTAACTATGTGAAGCTTAAGGGCCTCCAAAATAATTTTGTTGACAACACCTACGTGACATCTGTTCAGAAACTCTGCCGGGGGCAGGAGGGGGAAGGTCTGGAGAATAGGCACACTGATCAAGGAGATGAAGGGGTGGGAGATGGTGGGAATCAAGGCTTTGAGGGTAATGGGGTTGACAAGGGAGGAGGGGGGACTCTTTGGGAAGTAAGGGGGTACCAGCAGGTGCAGAGCGACACTCATGTCCCCTTCTCTCTGTTTGCTGAAAATATCGTTTTGGCCACCGGTGCGTCCGATTCTCCGGGTCACTTAGGCGCAGAGGGGGAGGACCTTCCATTTGTATTCCGCAGCATCTCAGACCTGGGTTTGGCCATAAGCCGGAGAAAACTGGATATGAACTCTGATCCAGTTTTAATCGTAGGTGCCGGTTTGAGTGCTGCAGATGCAGTTCTTTGCGCTTGTGGGAGCAACATTAGAGTGCTGCATGTCTTTCGTAAGAGCGTGGACAACCCAGACCTCATCTTCAAACAGCTGCCCAAGACCCTGTACCCTGAGTACCACAAAGTCTACAACATGATGTCCTCTCAGACCTACACTAACGTGGCTCCCTCCTCTGCTTCAGACAGACCCCAGGCAGTTAGTATTGCCTCCTCAGTATGTGCCAAGATGTGCCCAAAGCCTCAGTTTGCCGCAGGTAACATGGCTGGTACTGCAAGTGTCAGCCTGTTTCCTGTCTACACAAGTTTCCCTGAACACGGCGTGGTGTCCTTCCAGTCTGACATGACGTGTTTGCTGCAGGGGAACGACTCCCTCAAGGCATTCAAGATCTCCATGGCCCTAGTGCTGATTGGGACCAACCCAAACTTGTTTTTCTTGAAGGGGAATGGCCAGTACCTAGGTCAGGATCCAACAAAGCCCATCTCCTGTACACAGAACCCCATTGACGTTCACCCCTACACTTATGAGTGTGCCAATGAACCAGGTCTCTTTGCCATGGGCCCGCTGGTGGGAGACAACTTTGTTCGCTTTTTGAAGGGTGGCGCTTTAGGCATCGCCTCGTGTCTTCTAAAGAGACTCAAGAAGAAAGAGAAGCTCATCAGCAACGGAGGGAATAACTTCATTTGAAACACAATGGAGAAAAGAGCGGTACCAGTTGGTCCCATAGAACAGAATAAAAGCGCCCATACCAGCTGAAGCAGAAAACAAACATTTTAATGTTTAAATCATTTAGGCAGTTTTTTCATCAAAGCTAAGGAATTTGTACAACTTTCTGAGACCAAAAAGACAATGGATGTACAATAATTAGTTTCTAAAGAAACAAAACTTTTAAGAGTCCTGTCTGACTTCATCAGAAGTCCCCATAAGTCCATGTGCCAAGGTTTTTTCAGTCAATCTGTAACCTCACAACTAAATGGGAGCTTTATTTTCATCAGGGTTATTTATTTGTTCACCACGTGTCTTTCAATTCATTTATTAACAATAGTTGTGTTTCTGCCATATCACACTTTAAGTCTTATTTTAGCTTTATATGCTCCAAAATAGAGGCCACTGCGCTCATTTGCCATGTAACTTATGGCTTATAGTTAACAACCTGGAGTGGTGAGTTTTTTGCAATTGTAAACGCACAAAAAATCTATCTCAGAACTAAGCAATCTCAATGTTCCTGATTATTCTGAGCCATTTAACTTCAGGATTCTTTGTTAAGGGTGCTATTGTAGGTAGTTGGAGCCATATACCTGAAAAGTTAGAAAAGTTGAATAAAAATGAAATGATGCTTAAGTGCTACTTTCTATGCAAACAATTCACTTTCAGATCTGAACGTATTCTTGGACCATTTACATAATGACTAGAATATAGTTAAACACTTCTTCCAATACATATTTCTAAGACACAATGCAGGTAATTTCCTAAATCACATGATGGATTTAAGAAGGAAGACTTCTAGTTTTAATTGATATCTTACAATTATTTTGGCTTTGGTTTATTGATATTGCCCAACTCTATGAGTGACTACATGTGTGTAAATAAAAAAAAATCTTCTTCCATTTTTCTAAGAGAGCTTCACAGCAAGCAGCCATGTTTTGTTTTGAGCAGTTTTGTTTTTTAGAGGTTATGAGCAGAGACAGTAGCAATCTATTCTTTATTCACAGCTTTTTCTTTTCTTTAAATCATTTGAATAGTGTTTGCAAAAGTGTGATGCCCTATTGAACACATATGTGTATGTGTGAGTGTGATGGTCATGCTCATGGTTTGTTTGTTCTGATCTGATCATTTACATTTTTGGTCAACCCCCTTTAATTCAAAATGTTAGTCAGAGTCAGTGTTGGGGGTTTAATGCATTACTAATATACACGTTGCTGTAGTCACATTACTTTTTTCACTAACAAAGTTAATATTTTAACACATTACGGAAAACGCTTTAGTAATCATATAACAGTTAACTAATGAACATGTTGTTACTTATGTTAAAAATTGCATTTTATTCCTTAATGCTTTATTACTGACTATTGTTTTGATACGAATATAAAATATATGCATGCAGGCATGAACGATTGCCTAGCAGCAGCTGCTCTGAACAGAATACAGACCTGTGCTGTAAGGACAGGCGTAGGACATCATAGGACAGCGGGGACAGGGTGACTAAAAGTGGAATTAACTCTTATTACTGTTATTAAATATAATCAATGTTAGACAGTACTCTCCAAAAGCAATATTCTCGCTTAATAAAGATTAATGCCCCAAGCAGTGTGTGTGTAACCAAATAATTAACATTTAAATGCAGATTTGTAAGAATCTTAGAAAGCAGGAAAAGCTGCTCTATTAACCAAGTAATTAGTAGATGATCCTATTGTAATTTGGGGTGATTTTGGCACTGTGATGCCCATTTCCTTGCTGCAGTAAAATAAAGTAAATTCTCAACTCATATGTGGCACTTGCCTTGAATATGAATAGACAAGTGGGCTTTGTCTTCACAGAAAGGCCCATCATTGTTTTGGCATGAAGTGGAGTCACCTGCACAGTTTTCAGATCTGTAAAAATGCCTGCAGGCTCATCGGAGATCTTTAAGGAACAGCAGCTTGAATCCATAATAAGTTTCTAGTTTAGCTAAAACTAAGGGATACCTGCGTTCAGCATGTAGAGTTGTAATGCTCTCTTGTACAAATAAAGAGTTTTTAATGTTTTGTAAATCGCATTTTTTATTATTGACAAATAAAACTTTGAGAAAAAAATTCTCTGAACATGAGACTCTTTTGTTACATTTCTCTCTGTCGACTGTTTCATTAGTGACATACAATACCAAACATTGGCAAACATTTCTGATCCATTTGATCAGTTCTGAAGAAGTTATAGTTGAAACAAACAAATCAAGAATTAACTATTGAATTATTTTTGTATTTTTTCATATGGTATTGCTGGAGTTGGACATAGTTCTTGTGCCCTTTAAATGCCCTCTGGAGGACATTAAGATGGAACAGCTCATCTTCTCCTGCTTAGTTTGGTGGGGTTGTACCTAAAACACACAGAAAATATTTTATCTCACAGGTCTGTCCATTTGAAGATGGGCTTTTAACATCACATTCACGTCATGGATCATTCCTCAATGTCCTTAGAAGCATTTTGAACAAACAATAAAAACAGCCCAAATTAAGCGCTGTAAAACGAGGACAGTGTTTGAACAGTTTAAAGCAAACAGGCTTCCTATAAACCGTGTCTGGAACATTTGTTTCATCCTACCAAAAGAATACCGGATTGTTTTCTTAGCAGCAAAGTCTGGCTACGCATGACTGACTGAGCAGTGATCAAACAGATCAGCTTTGACACACACACACAAAATAAATCTCAGACTGTCTTTTTTGCTTAGTCAAAGAAAACACGGCAGCAGCAGCTTTCATCATCTCTGTTACCCGGGCAACCGCTGTGACGATAAAGTAACTCAGCTCTGATTGGTCAAGCTGAAGCTACAGTGGTCCTATAATTCTCAGTTAATGATATAATGAATAATGTCTGCACCTGATTATAATGACAGAGGCTGTACAGACAGAATCTTCATTTCAGTGGATTTTTACCACTTTGACTATCATGGTGACAAAGTGTAGGAGCAGGCACGTCTAGTACTGGACACAATGTGCATTAAGGGTTTTGGCCAAACGTCAATGTCCGAGAGCAACGGACTAATAAGTCAACAGGGAAATATTGTGGCTCCTATGAGTTCTAAATCAGAAAGGATGCTACAGATGAAAAAAACGAAGATGAAACATTTACACCTGCCTGGTCAAACAATAAACACAAAACAAAGTTCAATTAAACAAAGACACAAAGAAAATAATGTTAACGGTTGATATACCAACCACTAGCTGTATGTGCACTAAAAAACACCTGGTGCTAATACACAGCCCTGGCTCTGTAAATGGCAAACAGAGAAAGTGGATTGGACCGATATTTTTTACGTAAGGCTTCTATTGAGGTTTCTGAATGGAGGTTTGAAAGTCGTCACTTCTGGATGTGTGTGGAAAGCGGGGGGAGAAGGTGGACTAGTGCGATGAATTTCATTCACAGATATTAATTTGGTAAGAAGATTACTTTCTTTCTTTGGCTGCAGAATATTGTCAGTGTGGCTGGAGGTGAACATATGACTTATTTTAAAATGACAAAATACTTCATTAAGTATATAAATATAATATTTATGACATTTGCTACATTTGCGATGGCATTCATTGTCATCAAGTGCTGACTCTTTTTCAAGACACAGGTAAAAAAGTATTTACAAGTTACAAGTATCTAAAGCAGCAGGAAAATCTCTAATAACCAAATAAATAACTCAATAAAATCAGTATTTTACAGAATATAACAAGCCACTGTTTAACTTTTAAATAACGTCGTAATAAAAGAAACAGAGGTAAGATCAAAAGGTTTGGCTTTTTTTCCTCATACTCAAAACTTTACAATAATTTTTAGAATCAGAGTTAGTAATTTACTACAAAAAGAAATCCAGTTTCTCACCTAAAGAGGTCATCTCCAACACTCTCGTCCTGTTTGTTGTGACGCTCCTCCTGAATCAAACAAACGCTCAAATCATTAATACAAAACTCAAAGAGTTCACGCACACAGATATGAGAGACTGAGTGATAATATTACCTCAGCTGCATCTTTCAGCCACTCATCCAGATCGGTGTTTTTGCCCCGGTTGTGAACCAGCAGATCAGAGCCTCGGATGACGGGGCCCACTGCGCTCACTTCCCCTGCCCGGCAGATCTGTCACATGCACACAAGAGCATTTATTAAAAAAAAGAAAATGGGATTCTGTACATGATGTAACCTTTGTTGGAATTTCCTTTGTTGTGCTTTGAGGGGGTGAATGAAGTAGATTTGGACCAGACGGTATGTATCTGTCATGGAGACAATGTTAGGCATACACGATCATCTCTTCAACTCACAAACAAATAGGACGCCGGTCAAACATATAATGAACATTTTACTGAGAAAAGGAATCGCTTACTTAAGTGCTTGGAAGGGAAATATATTATTGTTTCTGCCACTTGATATTTTGTTTTTTTTACACCTTACCCATGAATGAGGGCCTTTTTTCCTTTTTTGAAATTGAGAGAAATTGTAATTGTTGTCAATTCAGGGTTAGGGTTAGGGTTAGAGGGTTAGATTATTTTTCTGTCTAATTAATGGAGGACTAAATATCTAGATATCATCTTACAGACAGAGCCTTTCTCTAGCAGTTATTCACAGCGCTGTTCCCAACTCCCCAACAGGAGTATGCTGTTTGTTTTAGTTACGTAAGTTGCAAGGTGGACAAACCTTGCGGAAACTTTTGAAGTTCTTTGCGCAGCTGTAGCTCTGCACCCTCTGTGGTTTCGTTGTGGGAACCGCGCTCACAGTCAGAGATCTAAACTCCACCAAAACCAACTTTTTGGGAAGATCTTCATCAATGTTTGACTCCTGTGAAACAGCACATTAGTGAATCAACTTCTGATTAACAGTTTTTAATCTTCCTTGAATAAATAAATGTTGAACAATATATAAGGAACCAAACCTAAAGTGACAGCACAATGAATATCTGAGAGTTAAAGACAATGATAGCAATACAATCAGTGATGTCCGTTTCCCTTTTGCATAAATGCATAACATATAACGTGTTGTTCTTTTCACAGCTTTTGGCTGAACTTACTTGGACCTCCTGTTTGATTGGAGGTTTCTTAGTTTCTTCTTTTGGCTCACAAGTATCTGCTTTGAGCAGCTCTATATCCTGCTGGCATAAAACGAGTGAACAATGTAAATCAACAGCATGTCATGAAACAGTTTTAAGTCTTCGTTTCTCTAAGTAAATCCTCACCTCAATGAATAATTCCGAATCATCAGAAGGCTTTAAGTGTGTACTGGCAGATGAAGCTTTTGAAGGTTTGCTGAACTCATGACTAGGTGCCTTGTATTCAACAGGGTGAATCTGCGCTGTCTTTATGGAGACAACATGCTGCGCAGTTGTTTGGTTCTTATTGGAGCTTGACTCTTTTTGCAGGCCCACCTCTGGCCTCGGCTTGTTTCCATTTTTTTCCGGTTGGACCCGTTGCCTCTTGCTTGAAGACGAAGCCTCCACATTATTGACGCCTTGTTGTTTGGTTGAACTGCTCACTTTTGGCTGTGCTTGCTGGCCTAGATTCCCTGAGGGTTGCTCATCAAAGAAGTCCATATCTTCAGACATAAGAAACTCCAGTTCGTCCATCTGTATCTCTGCTTCCATCTCCTTCCTCTTTCTGTTCCGCGGTTCTTCCTGCACAGTGTCTGAGACCCTCTCCGACTGAGCCCCTGACCCTCCTCCAGAGAGATCAGCTGCTGACCCCAGAGGCGTCTGGGATGTTGCTGAAGGGACTCTGTCTGAACGGGAGGATGTTTCTTTAGACGTGGATGAGGTGTTTGCTGCCTGTATGTTGATGGGTGATTCCAGTAAAGGGCGCTTTGGCTCTGACATGGCAGCAGAGAGCTCTTCCTCCAAAGGCCTTCACGAGGAAACAAAGAGAAGGGTAAGCATAGAGTTTCCTCTTATATTGTTGCCAAATTCAGTTATTTGTAAATGTTCAGATCCCTACCAACATGCAGAAACACTGATATGGTCCTTTAAAAAAAAAAAAAGGTTTACCTTTTCTTGTTGACAGTTTGAAAGAAACTGGTCAGACTTGATTGTTTCTGTGGGGAAGCTTGTGCAGGGATCTTTTGTTTCTGAGGAGATTGCTCCTGTTGGAATGTCTTCGTGCCAACGTTGGTCCTGGGAAGGGAAGACCGGGACCAAACGGCACTACTGCCTGCACCTGAATCTGCAAAACATTGATTGATGGGTGGTGGACGATCAATAGTTTATAGTAAATAAAACCTGAAAAGCAGTACAGGATTCTTTTTTTTTTTTAAAGAAAAAGACAGACTGGTGCATCTCTAGTTTATTCATGCAGTTACCTCTAGGTTTGGACTCAGGCTTCTTCCTCTCTGAGGCCGTGTTTTCTACAGTGTTGAACGATGATCTCATTGTGTCGGCCACGATGCACTGAGTGGTGTTCTGAGCAGCTTTGGATCCACAGAGCAGACTGATGTTCTGGTTTTGCTTCCTCTCAGGAGTCTCACCTACTAACATCTGCTCCGTTCCTTTAAATACCTTTATCCTGTTAAATAACAACGATTACACACATCAGACAGGCTTCCCAGAACAGGAAGAAGAACCAAACGTTTGGACAACTTTCACACATGATAATAGATGTGTGTTTGCGAGTGTGTGTCAGTACCCTTGTGATGTCTCTGTGTTGACTGCGTAAGCTGTGATGTTCTGAGAGGCTGCAGGCAACACAGTCTCCTCCACCGCCATGCTCTGAGACAGAGAGGCACTCGGGATTCTGGGTTGCACTTTGGGTGCCGACTCTGAAACATAAACAAAGGCAGAAATAAATCAAAGAAAATGTATAACGCCTAAAAAAAAGAGGCAGCAATCAGTGCTTTTCTATCTAACCCCCACCTGAGTCTGGTGTCAGACAGGATGGATTGCAGTACTTCTCACACGAAGCATAGATGGCAGCCAAACCGATTTCAGACTCTGTGATGACTCGGAGGCCTTTTCTGTCAGCGAAAAAAGGATAAAAGTCAGAGAGAGAGTTTTAAAGTCTTCACAAATCATCCCTTTGACAACTCAATTGCCAAATCACATACTAAAGTGATTTTTTTCATTAAAAAAAACAGCTTGTGTTTTACCTTTGGACAATGTTCTTTGCAGAGTTTGCCCACTCTGCAGCAGAAGTAGGAAGCAGAGGCTGGGAGCTGCCTGAGGTCACGTCCACCACACAGCAGTGAGGACTCTCCAGTAGGC